TCATCGCGGCAAAGCTACAGTATTAAAAGTTCACAAACCGTTCAAGATTCATATTGAATATAAACTGCCAATTGGTTACGGATCTTATGTACAAAGTCCAGCCACTATTGCAAAAACGCGTGATTTGAAAAAACACCCCCCACGACGTTTTGAAATAATAAAATAGAGAAATTATCCAGTAGGAGTTAGGATGAGAAATGATTTGAAAATTTGAATTTCCGTCGCATCTTCTTTCCTAACCTCAATCCTGACTGAATAATTACTGAATTTCTTATTTTAGGCGTTTTATTTTATTCTTTATTTTTTGAGAGGGGGGAGGACTTATATATAATCCATGGTTAAAGCGTTAACCTCAACTATCGGATATCGGATTGAAAGTTCACTCAAGTGTAATAAATTAGTTGAGCATTGTTAATAGGTTAAGATCATTACAAAAACAGTAGGTCTCTGCATATCAGTGGATTTTTTTCACAGAGACTTGCTCAGAGTGTAACTGCGACAACGCTACATAATATTCACCCAACTGACATCTCGTATCATATCGCAATCCAAAATATGAAACATTTTACGAAAATATTCAATTTGGTGGGATAGACGAATTTTATTCAAAAGCTGAAACAATTGCAACGGATGTCATATGAAACCGTGTAAATTACATGATGTCATACAAGCGTGTTCCCTCAAATACTTTGTGAATTTTGTACGTACATCATGACCTACCATTGTGACCCCATTCAGTTGAATCTCGCATTGCAAATATGAAACCGTGAAATCCTCTTTGTTCTTTACATTTCCGGTGCGGCTTTGACGCAATATGCAACTCGATTCTCGAAAAATCTACTCAGGAAGTGGAATAAGTCAAATGTCAGGTTGCAAGACTTTGAAATAGCGGTCTGTAATATTTACTATATTAGAGTTACGGTATATTTAAATGCATACTTGCATCGCAATTTTTTTTATAGCAATATTTTCCGTACTACGTTTCATACACTTATTCACTCCTTGTAAATAACCCTGTGCAAGCTTTTGATAAAGAACTACTTTATTTTGAAAGTGCCGGAATCTGTCCGGTTCGGCAATACCTATATAACTTATAGCGCCCTAAGGGTGAGATTTCACATGCCATCTGCCCCGATAATATCGGAAAATTACAAAGTCCGACTATATTTAAAGACAACTGTGCAATCCCAAATATATATAAACATCACAAAGGGCCATACTCGACTCAATACCCAACCTCAAATCTCGATTGGCCAGTCCTCTGGTCTGGAAGATGCCGACAATACAATTACGCTGTTTTCCTCAATCAATCATCAGATTGCAATAATGGGACAACAAGCTAAACCAAAACACTTGTAAACGTAATCAGAGCTGTTCAATCCGGAATTCTTGATATTGATAAGTCATATGTTTCACTTAATTACTGTTTGCACTATTTACTTTAGGTTTAGAAATGGATAAATGGCTTTTTCGGTAAAGAATATATTGGGCTGCCATATAAATATCAGCCGTGTCGTGCGAGGGCCATTCGTGGGTCTTGATGAAATTCAGTATTTTTCTTTTCTCATCCAACCATTATTTTAGGCTAAGTAAGGTTGAGTTCTGAAACAAGTTTCTCTAAAATAAACACATTTCTCAGACTCACAATGTAGTCAAAGATAATGGATCATGAAATTGACGATTGTGCAGTAACAGACATGATTAGACGTAAAACTCCATTCTAGGCGTTTTTAAAATAATTAACATTAAATGTGGCAAACCTTTTATTGTAATCTTAGTATTGCACCAGTTGTAACCCGTACAATTGTGAGTTGGTCTTAGACAGGAATGATTAAACGTTTTTCAAGGACAATGAGTTGCTGTAATTAATCCGATCAAGTTGTACGAAATATTTTATGACTCTTTTTCACTTTCTGGGAAACTAATTATCAAACTGCAATAATAAACAACAAGAGATCAATGCTCGAATATATGCGCACGAAGGCCAGAGCAAAGTAATATCAAATCGTTAACACTACCAGTAGTCTGTCTAGTCACCTAAGCACAGAATGTATGGACGGAACCACGGCACGCAATTTTTAATTTTTGATGGCGTCATCACACAAAGCTTCGACGTGAAAAATGAATCTCGTAGAGCACACAGATATTTTTTAAGTAAATATAAAATTGTATTGCACCACTTGAAACCCGGTAACGTACAGATTGTAACGCGGACAACTGTGCAATGGTTTTAGACGGGAAAGATTCAGCTTTTTTCAAGGACAATGAACTGCTTATAATAATGATTCAATTCCATTCGAAATAATTATACCGATATATTATTTTGAGGTCAAGTTGTACGCAATTTTTTTATCACTCAAATCTTTCAATACATCTGTGCGCTCATTTTCGCTTCCTGTGGAACTAATTAGAACAATAATCGAACTGCAATAATAGATAACGAGCACAAACAAAACGCTGAAAACTTTATTGAGCCTCTCGGCCTGTATTCTTTGTAATTGGGAATGTTCGCTTGCATGAAATACAATTAATTGGTGGATTAAGCACGGAGCTATATTCATACCTGGCCCAGACAGCTTTACTTGAACATACTTGTCCATGAAATTATATATGAAGCAACCCCCCAAAGTATCTATTTAAAGATCCACTCCACTCCCTTATGCCACGTCGTGCTCATATGGAAATCCCCTCCCTTCAACATATAAAATAAATAAACCTTGTAATGATTGAATAATAAAACATTATTAATCATGTTACGGCTTTTCATATGGCCTGTCTATTGAATGTCATGATGTTATTTCTCTTAGGGTGAGACTAGAAACGAACGACCAAGCAGGGCGATTCGGTGGATAGGTCACAAATATATCTCATTCGCTTACTTCAATGTATTCGAGAGATGTCAGAGTCGGGATTGCTTTAAAATAGACAAGGTTTCAGATAATTTCATATTAGCTCGATAAGGACGTGGATCGTACCCTATCTCTTGCGCAACTTTTGCGCGTTTAATAAGGTTGTACAGACAACTTGATGGCGTGGAATTTAAATATGAACATTTCGCGTTTGGAGTATACGCTTTCAATAATGTAATAAAGTGCCGTTTATCCTCGAATAAATTCATACTTACTCGAATGTTCACCTGTGATTCTTTTTAACCCCCCTCCCCCTTCTCGCCATATACATCTGCGGCACGGATCAGCAGCTCCTTCAATATCAGTATCTCGTCCCTCTTATCAGTTAAGCTCTATTATCAACAATGACGGAAACAGGATTTTAGTTTTATAAAAGGCCATTTGGCTTAAACTTGGGAGTGAATGAACGCGAATGAGCGAATGAATGAATATTTAGGTTCCAACTGTTGATGAGCGCTAGATGCTTTCAGTCACTTCTTTTCGTTTTTTTATTGGCCTTGGCTGCCGCGGTTTCTTTCCTATTCCCGGCCTTTTTGGTAGTTTCATTGATGACTATCACGAATAGCCTTTTTCGGCGAATCCAGAATACAAGTATAAATAAGGTCGTATTATTCTAACCCGCAACACTTCAATTAATCTTGGCGATCGAGTAGCCAAATAGTTTCAAAATAGACACGGTTTCAGATAATTAGACTTTAGGCTGTTCATGACATGAGAGTTACCCCATCTCTTGCGCAATTTCTGCACGTTTAACAAAGTTTTGCCAAGAATTTCACAGAGTGGAATTCAAATATCAACATTTCCCATTTTTGATATACATTTTCCAAATAGTATTTCGCTTATCCTTGTATTTATTCATACTTAGCCGGGTAATGAACTCTTCATGTCTCTTAGAATTCCTATCTCACCGTCCGCGCCATTTATTTGTTATTTAAATGTCAGTGCTGGTAAAGGCATTGACGCACACGGTGACTATAATTGGAAAGGCTGTAGACATGGCCTCGTAAAATTGTTACCGTGAATCCAAGACTATTAGAGATAAAACTCGGCAAAATATTGCGATACTTTGGCATGGAATTTTTATAGTTATTCTTCATTTATGGCATTTTCGAACTTGGTTTTTTTATACTGTATGTAAATTGTCCAACGTCACAACCACGCCACGCCCCCTTGCCTTGATTGCGTGATTTAGAATTAGCAACTTGCGACAAGCGTCTGTGGGATGGAACCTAGGGTCACAGTCATAGCTCGCAAATTGTCCCATCATAATTTTCTATGATTTCAGAACTTCTTGGCATTTTAGTGTTCGTCCGTGACTTCACTCAGAGATGAATCTCATTTACTTTTGAATGAGTGCGTGTGACTTCACAAAATTCCTCTAGAAAAATCTAGCAATTATCTTGCACATTCCTCCAACACAATTTGAACATAGGAACCCAGGCATAGTAAAAATACTACGAGGACAAGCGTTTTTATAACGCTTAGCTCGATGCGAACCACACTGTTCATCAAACGATGCGAAATATGCACACTTTGTTTTCAAACTTTCCAAACCGCTCCCCCTTTTTAGAATTTGTCAATTCCCGCGCACGGCGTCAAAAATAACTAGCTAACAATAAGCTACAAATAACAGATAGTAAGGCGAGAGTATGTTTTATCCAAAAAATACATGGATGGAACGTAAATGTCCTATAGAAGAAAATGTGAACATCCAAAATAAGGCAGGAAATATAGAATCTAACAATTTTTTTATTATTTCCAATTAGCTGTAACCCCCTCCAAAAAAATTGTGTTTACACCCACCCCTTTGTTAGACGCGCCCCATCGCATAAGAACCACTTTACCACACCAAGAATAAGATGAAAATCTTATGCTCGGTTTATATGGCGCGGTATTGATCCATCGCGGGCGGTCATAAGACCGCATTCACGTGGTTTAATCACGAGTTGCGATGAGTTGCGCAATTAAATACAAAACGGTATATATTTAAAGTCAGGTAAATATGATAAAATGCTCGCTAGCAGAGAGCGCCTCTATCAGATAAAAAATTCGAAAAAATGGTTTTATTCTTCGATAGTTATGGCGGTGTTGCTGTGAAACGTAAAAAATGAAAAAAAAAGGTTTTCAGCGTAGGCGCATGGTTATAAAAAAGAGAGAAAATGCTTCATCATGTATCTGAATTCGAGAGAAATTTAGCCTTAGTATAAAGTCACGCGTTTGACGCCATTTCAGGCATAAACAGCGAAGTTAGCTTGCGTTACGCATAGAAGTGATACAGAGCGACATTGAAGACATTTTAACGAATTTTTCGTTTGCCGTACTTATTTTCCTCATTGCTAGTATACTGACATACTTATCTTCATTGGAAAAATCAGAAATGGAAAAAATTGGAATACTTATAACTGCGATTGTATTCGCCATGGCGACAATGGTGCACTGTAAGTTTTGTTCTATTCTAAAATTTATATAAATTCTGAAATATCAAAATTATCGAAATATTTTGTCAATTTTTACTAGTTTTAATTAGGAAAGTTAAACAAAAAATCGCAGCTATTAAATTACTTCAATAACTAGTACATTAGTCTCAAAAGTTCTGACAATAAAAACTTTTTGGAGAGCATAATAAAAATGCGTGAATCTGAAATTTTATAAAATTTCCGACCCAACTGTGCGCAGTTTTTGCATTAGTTTTGAAAGTTGACCAAATTTTGCAACTTTTAACTTATCTAAATAACTGGTGCATTATAAAGCTGTAATCTAACTAAAACATAAGACTTGCGCAGCATAAAATATTGAAATTGCCAGCAAATTAATCAATTTCAATTTTCAAATCCTAATTTTTATTATTGGCTGAATTAAATTTAAAGTAAATTAATAGCTGTATTGCAATACTTTGAAATTTGTAATAGAATTCAGTTCGAAGTTGAAATATACTTAAGCTGGTATTGCATATACTTTACATAAAAATTTGACATAACGCTCTTCGGTATTCAAGGCGTATAAGATATGGCAGTGCTTCTTCCGATTTAATTATATTACAATCTCTTTCTCAGAAGTAAAAACGATTTCTCGCTAATCAAACGTGGTCTGTACAGTAATCAATTTTCAAACCGTGAATAAATTGCGTCAGACATATACGATTATTATAATGGAATTTCAATTTCGCGATGAAGTGGAGAATAACCGATATATAGTTTGATTTGAATTATATACTGTACACGTTGAAAGTGGGATTTATTTTATATCATCAATGTGTATACGGCAGATCAAAAATCTTCAACGGAGGAGGCCACATTAAAATGGCGATTAAACACATAAGCAATACTTTCCTGTGAATAAGTTTTCGATAGTGTGAATATTGCGAGTGTAATAGTAATAATACATGCATTTCTTCGTTAAAAATGGGAAAAATGAAATGATCATTGCGGCATAACAAATTTAAAACTTCCTAACAAATCCGCCTTATACCGGTCAAGGCCGGTAAAATTGCAGGTGAACGCCGGTCCTTGCTGCACACGTGCGGTCGTGGCGAAACGAAGGCGGCTTGCCGGAGACACGAGCCTGTATGTTCGGTAACATGCGTTGTAAGCTGCAATGATAATATACCGTTAGTAAGTAACACGAACGCTTTAAAAAAAAATGATGATTCTACTGCATGATGACTCTACTGCAGCCTTCCGCACATCAGTGGTCCTTACAATTTACTTTTAATTGCACGAGTTTTGCTCATTCTAGCGCAGTAATACCGTAACAATCAATACCTTTTCTTCCACGAAGGTTTACCTAATCACATTTTGCCTAATCATTTCCGAGATAAGGGCAAACAATGCAATGTAATTAGTATTTGTCAAATGTAATATAGATTAAAGGGCGAATAATTGTGCATTGTAAATTAATTCACAGCGGAAAAATTAATCTGCACGCGACTTCCCAGAACGCGCGATTTGATGGATTTGGATACGAAAACAAATGACGGAAACTATAGGATTGAAAGTTCATGAATAACTGTACAAGTTTTGAAAAATTGAATGCCGTAACGGGACTCATGTTTCACTTCGAAATGTTTTTATTGTACGGTCATTGTTTTTTAAAGATCATTGATCAAATTGATAGTTTTTTTGAATAATACAGCGCTTTTCGGCGTAAAATGAAGCATATTAAAAAGTGCTAGTAGCAACAGAGCTGAAATAATACCTTGAGTTGTTTATTGCGTTATTTGGTACATAGAAATATTAATGGATATATAGACTTAATCGTCATTTGAATGGGTCTCCTTTTTACTTGGCTCGTACAGAGTTTTAGATACTCATGGTGACTTCTAATACCGCTCGAAAGCGGCTTAAACTCAAATATATCAAAAAACGTGTTATATGTTATAAATACTAATATTTAGTGAATTTTCGCACAATAAAAACTTCCAGTCGTGATCATGTTACTACTACTAATGACACGGCAATTTGCGTTTTCGAATTTCGTTACCATTACTTAACTAAACTTTAATAAACTATAACCTCGAAAGCGAAGAAACGATTACAATGCAATTTTCAATAGTCTTTGAAGAAGATTTCTTTTTATTTGGTATTGCAATTAATTACTATGCAAAGCAATAGATATTATGTCACAGCGCGGCTATATAAACAAAAAATTGTATTTTTGGACTTCATTAAGAAATAGAATAACACGTAGTTCACTAAGAAAAACAATTTTAAAATTTGATTTAGGAAATATTGGCGCTACCACACGCTAGAAAAATTTAATTTTTTCTGAATAAATTATATTTATATTTGAGATTTTAAAAAAGGAAAAAAAAATTAATATCAATCCCACCCCTCATAAATATTTTTTTAAGCATAATAAAAAGTTCATTAAAATAATAGCGTTTTAGGTAGATGTTGAAAAATCGGAATCCAAATATTACCGTCGCATGATGACAAGAACGTTCTGTCTACTTTACGAAATTTTTTGTGGTTTCCCGACCTTTACAGAACTTAACAATGCAGCCGTAGGGCAAACCATTCTTTTCGCATATCAACCAAAATCCCGAAAAATAATTTTACTTTATGAAGCTCAAACATTGGTCAAACTTGACTGAGTTAAAATTTACAAAAATATGACAGAAAATAGCGCGGTAGACTCTATATTAATCTCGAATTATCGTAGATAAATGAAATCGGCAATTTTTAAGTCACGGTGCGATTTTTTGAAACTTTTTTTGTTACGATATAAACCACTAATGTAAAATTTGCTATGCTACCAGTTTATAAGCTGATTAAATTATAAATAATGATGATGCGTTCAAGACCTACTTGAACTTGTTTTTGTTTTTGCTACTAATATCTGGTCTCATACAGTGAACCCTTAATTTAATAGGAAACCATGTTTTTTTTGTCTCGAAAAGTCGGGCACTTTCGATTAAATATTACCATTATAAATTAGTAATACTAAACTGAAATTTGTTTGTTTTTCTTAGGTCGCCCATCTTCAAGTGTGGACTACCAAAAAGACGGTAAGTTGTTAAAATTTATGTCTATTTCGTGTTATTCAAAATGTATGGAACGCTAAAAATTTACTCCGCTATGACTTTTAACACTAGTGTTATTTAGTAGCAAAATAAAAATCTAATTCGAAACCAAAGGAACAGAAATAGAGAAATTTGACACAGCCACACTAAATAATTCCCCGAAAACTGCTTACTTTTTTCTATTTTCACTTTTCTAACTAGAAGAACTGACGCATCTGCCAACTATTATTTTGCTAATATGCTATACTCGATGCTAAAATAAAATATGCTTATAATGATACTTTTTCAAACAGAAATCAAAGGATACAGACAAGAAGCAGTTTTGCTTCGGGAAGTCCGACCTTGTTTGTCTCGATTGTATGAAGTAAAGGCTGACATTATTGAATACGAGGAGATTAACAGCTACCCACACTACGTTCCTGAATGCGACAAAGAAGGGAAAATGTGGCGGGTAGGTGTTTTAAATAGTGTAGAAAATAGAACAAAAGTTTGCTAATATCTTAGCTTACAAGCTTGCAAGTTTGTTTTTATTATTGATGTGTCCCATTTACACAGTTTCGCAAAAATTTTGGTATCCGAATGATATACGTTTTGTTTTGGCAAACTTGATTGAAATATTTCAACTATATAATCACAAAAAAATATCGTATAGTATAGCATAAAAAATAAACGAAAAACAACTACGAAAAATATTCATAATAAAAATATAAAATCATTATAAAAATTGCATAACTTGTAAAGTTTAACAAGTTGACTGTTTCAATTACCCGCGCTTGGTCATGAGCAGCCAAGACTGGGTGGCAAAGAATAGTCTGGTAACTTAAATGAACAGATTTCAACTTATGGTCGCTACATAATTGTTTAATTTTACCATTGAAAGTAATTTCATGTTTGTCGTTATTGTTTACCGTGTTTCGTATCCGGTAATCTGGTAATTCGTGTATAATTAGGCTCAATTTCACGCGCGACTTTTGCGTAAAAGGTTATCATGAAACATCGTTTAATTAAAAGCTAAGAAACAAATGCTCCCAATGTTGATAAATGATAATATTTGCTAATTTTTGAGTAATATTGATAAATGTTAATATAAAAAAATAATATAAGCGTAATAAATAAGTGTTATATCAATAGATTAGAAACAAGCTTCCGCAACATTGACAAAACTTATATTATGTGGACAGAGACTATCTCATTCTGATTTAATTAAACTTGAAGTTTGCTTTTTATCGGTTGCTCTTATAGCATGGGAAATACTGTTTGCAATTGGGTAATACGAGAATATCGGTCGGAGACCGAAGACTTATCGATCTTAGACCGGTAATTAGTTGATAACTCGCTAATTATACGACATAATTAACCCAAAATCTATAGGCTTCTGGTCCGAGGTAAGATGCATGTACATGCAAAATTTGGAGCAGATTCAACAACGCGTTCGTGAGATATCGCGTTCATCTAACAGACAAACAGACAAACATACAAATACCTATCAACATACTTACCGATCTTAAGATCGATAAGTAATGATACAGTAATGTAACACTATGAAAAAGAGAGTGTAGTATGACATTACATTAAATAGTTTCTTGTATAACTAACTCAGTATATTTGCATTTCCAGCCTTCCCAGTGTGACCACCGTGACGGAGGAGCCTGCTTTTGTGTTCATGAAAAGAATGGTTTGATCGTACAAGGAACAAAACGAGAGAGGATGTTGAATAAAGAAGCATTAAAATGCGGTAAGAATTATTTAAAAGCGTTGAGAGTTCAACGTAGCTTCACAAAATAATGAAGGAAGGCTAGAAATTTTTCGACTTTCGAATCTTTTCAGGTTTTTTTTGGTACAAATCCAGTACTATTATTTTGAGAAAGGCCCCAAAAAACTTGTTTTTCTACATTGTTCAACTTCATTCTGTCTCCATTTTCTTTCTTCAATATTATAATTTTTTTATACTGTATTTTCATCAACTTTGTAAAAATATAATAACATGTATTAATCGTAAGTTTTATGGTTGAACCTTAAGCTTAGCATCGCGAGAAGCGGGATTTCTGTCCGACAATCCAATAGCGGGTTCATGTTTTTACTTTTTTGTGCCAGCTAAAAACCTATTTCCCTACATTTCTAACTTCATACTTATATTTGTAGGTATGAGAATGACGAAAAACGATCATTCAGGAAATCAATGTTTCCATATGCAAGATGAGTTCTCAAGAATGCAAGTCGATTTTGGGTTGAAAGGTCACACCCCACTCTTCTATTATCCCGAATGTACAACCAACGGAAAATTTAAGGTAAATTTTTGCATTATGTAAAATATCAATAATTATAAATATAAAAATAATGATGTTGTTTATTGTCTGTGCTTTTTTTAATTTAGTCCTATGCCGTTTGTCGTCTATACATACAATCAATTGTTTAACGTTATATGTAATTAAAAAAAAACAGTTCCGTGAGTTGAATATACAAATGTTTAATTCATTTTGATGAAAGCGATGCAGCAAGTTATTATCAATTTTAACATTCAATTAAAAATCTCGACTACATATTAAGATGAATTATACAAGTTAAAAAACTTCCATAACCAAACGACCATTATTGGATAGAAAAGCAACGACGTTTTTCAAGAAGCGGAATTGTTCCTGTTAGGCATTTCCCAACTAATTTAGTCCAACGATTTGACTAAAAAGCCATTGCGTATATTTCACTTTCTAACAGCAAAATGGATATGAAATCCTTGCGAATCACAAACTTATCATAAAATCGGTTATTTTTTAGGCAATGCAACGAAATGATCGATCTGTATTCTTTTGCGTTGACACTGACACTGGCAGCGTGATCCCGGAAACGGAAACAAAAGCCAGCAGTACTCCACCTTTGACTGAAGATATCTGCAAAGCTTACGACGAAGTTTGTAAGTATCTTATGTGTTGATTTTTTGTACACTTTGCATTAGATAAGTCGAGTAAATACTCAACGATAAGTCTACATACAGCGAATGTGTAAGTTTGCTTAAAGCATGGTCGCGAGTCCTTGGCAAAAATAATTTTTCGATTTCGAGAAGTCTGAAGCTACTACGGAATCTTAAAAAGTTTTTGATCTTCCAGTGAAAGAAGGTTTTTGGAAATGAAACTTTAAAAACAGCTCATAAAAAGCGAATTCCATTAAATATAATTTATTGACATTCAAAGGATGATGTAATATGCTTCATTTATAACATTTATCCGGAAAATACCGAAAAACATTTTCATATAAAATGATAAGAGGAATTAAAAGTGAACTTGAGCGTAACGCGACCTCATAAATGTCATTTCAAATTCATTTCGGCTTAATACAATAGTAATAAAATTGGAATGTAGACCTGCAGCAATGTGTTGTCGGTATACATAGCCTTTGGCTATTGCCGAATGAAACAAAGTTGGTTTTAAAGTCTACTTTGTCTTCGCACGCGATTCATTGGCCGCGAAACCATTTCAAATAAAATTTTTTATATTTGGAAAATAAAATTCTCAAAAAACTTTTCAGAGAAATTGTTACATTTTGGAACATTTTTGGATTTGAAATTGCGAAAATTTACATTTTCTTTAAAAAATTTATAAGATGAACAATAAATAATATGTATATTACCAAACTTTTAGGAAATTGTTTTGAATTTGGAAAACATTCAAAATTTTGTGATATACAACATCTTGTTTATATTCAAAATAAATACATCGACAAAAATTTTTAAATTTCAAAATTCTTGATTATTCATATTGTGCTTTAAACTCAATATTATATTACGGTCACGTTTCTTCAGCACGACTCTCAATATTAATAACGATTGTTAATATATTCGCAGCTGAGTCATTGTGGTTTTGTATCTTTTGGGCGTGTAGGATTGAATTGTTTATTTTCGCGTGGCATTTTTTTAAGATCCTAGTTCGATATATTAACTGGTTATAACTGGTTTAATAAGCTAGTTTACGTAAAGTGACATTTAAAAAAATGTAACTCTAAGCAATAATTTATTTATGCGATTCGTATAAACATACGAGATATGACTCGTTGTAGATTTTAAAAAATGGTAACTAAACTGATTGGATGTAATAGGGTACATAAATGCGACATTATAAAAATAAACGCTGACGTGGATAAGCTAAATGACACTTTCGAAAACGTAATTTTTGAAGATAGACATCGGTGAAGCCGCAAATATCCTGCTATGCTATCCGCGTGTCACATGAGTCACATACACCGTTGCACGATATGTTTACGGTTACAAAACAACCCGAATGGCGATTTTTGATTGCGCCAGTTTGCTGAAATATTATTTAATGAAATCTTCACTGTGAAACAATAGGAAAATAACTAGATGGCTTTTTAATAAAATTGTCTTTTTTATTCTTTCAGGGCAACAATTCAAAGAATGGAATGCTTCTCAGGATGAGGAAAATGGGTTGGATGCACCCGTCGAGAAATTGTCTTGCTCGTAAGTTGATTTTTCTTTCCATTTATATGTTCTAAATGAATTGAAAATGACAATAATTGTTTGTATTATTTAGTCCATTTGTAAACAATGAATTTAATTTGATGTCGATTTATATAAGTAGGCTTGTTCAACTCTTGAACGGAATAAATGATATTAAAAGCCTGGCACAAAATTGTTCAAATCAGCTTACAAGTTCAATCATATTTAAACCAGGCATCATTTTCGTTTTACTAATTTTGTTTTTCGTTGTTTTACTGACTGAAAAAAAAATTTGCTGCGACTTCTATTATTAAAGTATATTATCTTTATCACAGGGCTGAAATGACTTTTACTAAATGCGGATGTTCCGTACCTTGCACCGAGAGAGCATCAATTGAACAATTTTACGAGGAATGTGTCTGCAAACCTGCTTGCGTTTGTCCAAAGGGACTTTTTGTACTTGATGGTCGTTGCGTCGATTTAGAGCAATGTCATGAAGAGAAACCCCAATCTAAAGTACTCCACTCCGAGAAACTTGACGACCTAACATCGGGAGATTTTGGCAGATGTAAGTTTTATAAATATTGCTTCGTATTTTTAACGTTATTTCTTGTAATATTAAAACGTGCACTTCAGATGAGGCGTAAAATAATATAGTATGCCACCAATGGTACCATTGATATGTTTAAAACGGAGTATCTATAATACAAAATCCCGTTTGTAGTTACCAGTAGTAATAATAACAACTACATTTTGCCAATCGAAACGTCATCTCTAAACGCACTCTATACTTATGTTATCAAGATGCACCTGTTACTCTAAACTTCAAAGACTGTAAACGATTAGCAATTTAAGTTAGAAACCAATTATTCGAAAAAAAAACAGATCTCGTTCGACTAGTATCGACTGTCACGATGGGCTGCTAATGAAACTGAAAATCGACTTATTTTTAAAAATAGAAAACGACATTATTAGTTGTAGGCGAATCGTCAAATTTAAAAATAAACAAACATACAAAGTGCTATATAAAAATAAAATTGAACTGTATACTTCAAAGTTCTATATTTAACATGGATAAAAAAGATTTTTGTTTAGAAACTCACAATGTCTGCCAATGAACATCATGTTACTTGTAGGATAGAATAGTAGAATACGAAAAGCCGAATTTAAAAATAAACAGGCGTGTAATAATTAGATAAAAATAAAATTGAATGGTATAATTTAGATTCATGTCTTTGGAACAATTCCACAACTAGATGTTATCGCAAAAGTGGTTAGTCGTGACTCCCACTGATGTTGTCACATTTGTTGAGGTTTTTTTACATTGGTTTGGGTAAACTTGCATTTAATCAAATTTGGAGAGTTTTCCCTGATGGTCGACTAATTGTCATAGTTCATCGTTGATGACAGTGCAGTACGCCATTTTGCTTCGTACATTAAACCAAGTTCATAAAACTAAATATAGTATAAGGGATCACGCGAAATTGTAATTACCTGCCATTCTTTGAAGTCATAACACAATAATTCATTGAGATGGTTCTAGTTCCTTATGCAGCACAGAAGCACAAATCAAATTATTGATATCTCAAATACCCAGAAATAATTGCGGAAGTAATTCATAATCAATAGGAATCAGACAATAGTAACATCAGGATAGAGGTGAAGGTGGAAACGCAAAAAGAATATAATTTCCTATTTTATGCTGACGTCACTCCAGCGATGACGTCATTTTTGAAAAATATAAGTCATAAAGTTCTGTTTAAACAATCATGACTTCGAGATAGAGATGAATTTTAAAACGCATGAAACATGATCTCCCATTCTATTCGGACGTCACTTTTAGTCATGACGTCATCTGGTAAAAATATTACGTCATATAATCCAGTTTGAATTTCTTCTATATCTGAACAAGTTTTATGATATTTATAAGAAATCATATAAATATTGTTTCTAAATTGTTTTTATTTCTAATTTTTGCAGGGAAAGATTTCATGAGAAGAAACCCCAACGCCGTATTGGAAAAATACAATGCTCTTGCATACCTCGTGCAAGACAGAGCTCTATATGCAGCGGGACGACCTGCACTGGACCACAATCCAGAAAACCCATTTTTCGTCCGACCTCCCCAAGAAGAAGTTGGATTTATCGGAGCTGAGCCAATCAATTCTGTAAACCCTATGCTAAGACAAGTTCTTTCCGAAGGAGGGGACGAAGAGAGAGAGGAAGAAGAAGAATTTGAAGAAACAGAAAATGAGGAAAATACTGAACCACATGAAGAACTCGAAATCTTAGAGAGGGAACCGTACTTTCAACTAGAACCTTTGGGATATACTGAACCAGAAATCGAAGAGGAACACTCAGTTACTGAAGAAGAAGAAATACAGAATAATGAAGAAGGGTTTACAACACAAGAAGAATCTAATCAAGAGTTCGAAAATGAAGAAATCGAAATTGAAGATTCCAATGCTGAATTTACACCTCTTGAAGAAGAATCATATCCGGTAATAAAGCAGATTGAAGAGCCCGTTGAAGAATATGGAAGAGAAATCGAAGAACAACAAGAATATGAACATCCCGTTGAATCGGAAAATGTTCACGAAAGCGAAGAAGAATTGGAACCTGAAAATGAACATCCTGTAGAATCCGAAAACGTTCACGAACGCGACGAGGAAATTGAACCTGAAAATGAAATCGACAATCGAATTGTAAAAGAAAACATGATTGGTCATCAAACTGAGTTCTCCACTGTTCCCACAGATGAACCAGTAACCGAGGAACCTCGACAAAACGATGCTCCGTGTGATGATGCCATCGACGAGCAAGATATACCTTTAGAATCTGTAAGCAATCTAAGCGAGGAAGAATTAGATTTAGCGGAAATTAACCGAGTATTAGCGGAAAATGGAGTTTCTCCAGCCGTTGAAGCAACATTTGAAAAGCCGACGTCGATAAAGAAATATTCCGCGGGGAGGTAGAACTTTAGCAATGTAAAATGTTTCAGTATGAATGAACTGATAGTTTTACGCTCCATGAGGGAATCGAAAGAGATCGGAGTAGTGTTGCACACCGATGCAACAAATGTTGAATGAACTTGATAACAGAAAGGAACACGATCGAGAAAAACGTGTTCCGTTTGTAATAAGGACAATTTCAACGTCCTTACTAATAAGATGTATGGAAAGTTAAAATGAACGAGTTACAAACCAGCATTGCAGTCTAGTTTATGGGTTGTAACTCGTTTAATTTTAAATGACTTGCTCGCTAAACACTGTGATTTATTATCTGTGATACTGTCTTCTCTTATTATAGATTATATCTCTTTACTTCTATGTACATTTTACTTTTTTCGTTTTGAGGCATTTTGCTTTTAACTAATCTCTAGCTAATCAATTAAAAAACAAAATGTTGAAAGTCCTGCTACATTTGTTGGTTGTTGCGCCAGTTTGATAAATTTCCACATTATTCAAAAAATATTCATCTGATTTATTCAAATTCCTAAACAAAAATGGCATCGACTGAAAACCCCACATTCACCACAAGTATGCAATTTGAGCAATCATTCGGGTACAGTGTACGAGACAAAAACCATTTTAAAACAGTTCAAATTGAATTTAATCGTTGGAGAAATAGTTTTATACAAACAAAGCCTTTATCAGATTCCATCTATTCTATGGACACGTCTGTATTGTGTGTAAAATCAAGCCTCAAGGGCAGAACATGTTGCCATTATGTGTGATAGACAGCCGCACAAAATATTTTGTGGTAAAACGTATACTACCCGTGTCAGTCGCAGCTTGGCTATATAATGTTATGATAACCTTTGAAATCGCCCAAGATTTGAACAACAGAGCAATCATAGGCGGTTCGTTACTTGCAAAATGTCGAATGCTTTCAACTTAATTTCGTTTTGATTGTGGGAAACTTCAAAGATAATTTTTTTATCTTTTTGAAATGCTATTCGATTTGAAAGACATGAAATCTAATGCATTAAAATCGTATTTGATATGTTTACAAGTCTCAATATTATATTGCCAAATCTCACAGCTTTGCATCTATTAATATCATTTCGACGATGTATTTGACATTACTGAAAATCATCTAAAATTTAAATCAAGGCCAATTTATTTGCTTGCTTCAATAGGTCTGAAATTGTGCTGCGCTTTTGAAAATTTCAGTTTTGAATCTCCAATTTGATAGTTTTGATTTTGTATAAATCGTGTAAATGAACTTATTTAAAGGGAAGCATGATAAAATAAACTAGATATCCAAACGTCAACAAATTACAAAACTTTAACTTTTTTCGATTATTTCCAATTCAAGATTTGCAAATTGCAAAACTTTTGATTTAAACAAAAAATTGGGACTTTGCAGAAAATCACCCCTACTAGTATTACTGTCCCATCGAACGCTATTCTAAACCATTTTTCAATGTTATTTTCTTTTGCCTCAATTTTGCTTGTTTATTTTGACGAATACAATAAAATTTTAACGAAGAAAATCAAATCTGTACATTAAGTAATTGAAACACAGTTAAAGGCAGAGTAAGAGGTGTATAAATTTCCCTGTACTGTTATGTATGCATTCCAGATCCCATCATTGCGATTCACAATTGTTAAAGGATGCGTGGGTTTTGCGGTCTACTCTAAATAACGGTATCAGTTCTTACAAAGATCCATCTGATATATATGTTCATGTGGATAGCCAGAGAAAACAAGTCTCTAGAGAAGATTTTAGACGCGACTGGGGAAGCATATGGTGAACAGTGTACACTGTACATGATGCTCCAAAACCTTTTTTACCATTTTATTTTCCACCAGTCTTATTTCGAACTATGAAGTGGGAAAAGTGCCGGTTCTTGGTTCAAAAGATCAAAAATAGAAATAAGGTGGTGGCGTGGTGGGTCAGCCCCACACAAAACTTCACCAGTTTATTATTGGGAGAGTAAAAAATCGAAATCGCAGATATTCCATCGGTAGTAGTAGTATGAGAGGTAAATCGTCAAAATACAAGATCACTAAGCATACGCCATACGTCATAATACCCTCTGAAAGCACAAAGGGGACTGGGACTAATTCTTATCTCCCCCTCCCGCCCTTGAAATTGCAAAGGGGGCCCTTATTGTTCCAATATTCCCAGACTAATATCATGTACTACATTTTGCTGTTATCAAATGTCATATCGAATATAAATATGTATGTAAATTTTTGCTACGGCAAGCTGAATGAGGACACGATTATCTGAGATGATCATGAATAGCACGTAATATGCCAGTAGAATTTATCCAATAATAGATCCAGCTACTAAAATTCCACACAGAAAGTTCCATTTCGAAAGTTTATAATTTAAAAGAATGTGCTACCGAGAAAAAATTCACCCCTAACCTTCATTAAAGGGCTTTATGTTGTGTCACATCTCTGGAAATCGCCCTTAGTCGTATGTAGACAACGCCGGATGAAATTTGGATACTCAAATTTGCGTGTAAAATATCTCAATAACGACACCCTACGGATCATCAACTTATCGAGCAATCTGAGTACTTTTTGTCACGTGACCAAAAACTACTACTTTGTAACACTAGAATGAAAATACCTTGAGGTACACATAAATTAAAAATCTGGTTGGAATATTTTATGTACCAGGTGTAAATAAAGAAACTTCAAAGTTTTGCACAAACGAAGACTGGTTTTAATGACGGGGAGGCATGGTATAGCATAGACCAGGGGTGTACAACAATGGGTTCACCAAGTAGTTTAGCGCGGGCCTTGTCAGCACTAAGATCCTTACTAATTTTGCTCTTGTCGCTGCCTTAAATTTTTCGCCATTTTGCCCGGTGTCTTTACTACTGCAAGGCTAAGTAATAGCCGCATTCTCTTTATTTGGCTTTCCCGCATAGATAAAAACTAATTTTTTGTGTAGATGTCTGAGGTCGGTTGTATGACCCAGCGATAAAAAATGCTGCACACCCTTGGGCATAGACAATATTTGAGGAATAGATGTTTTTTAAATTACTCACTAATTCACCCTCTTTCTGCGCAATTATTTTATAGCCCTAGGTGTGAATGTGGATTTCGGCATTCCGCGGTATTGGAGAATGAATATAGGTGTCGTATTGGCGAACTCCCGGGATTTCAGAGTCGAAATTTTGATCTTTCCTGGAATAATCAGGTAATTTGATATAGATTCCGGTCAAACTTCTTTGCAGAATTGGGGGTTTCAGGCGGTAGATTGGGGTGGGTGGGATTCCTCTAATCCAGTGTATTCTATACGATTTATTGCACTATGGTTCGAGTTGTAGTCATGCAGTGGGGTCCAGACTGACCAGCAATTGAATAAACTACGCTAGAATTCATGCTAGGCTATGAAACACTTTTTTAGCTCAAAGACAAGCGTAAAACAAAGAATAATAATAATAAAAGTTCAAATTTATATTTAATCAATAATAATAATAATTATAATCATAAAATAATAGCAGTAGCAACAGAAATTTACGCGAATAAAATATCGAAAAAAAAACAGCTCAATATCATAATCTAGCGGATAAAAAAATAGTTTTGAAATAGACTGATTAAACAAGGAGATGATGTTCTTCCTTGAAAGCAACTACTTTGCCTGCTGGCACAGTATGTCATCGAATGCAATATGCAAAATATGTCGTTTTCAGAGGATAAATGTGTTCGTTGTAGTCTCATCAAGGTCTTCTTGTGGATCTTCGAGTTAGGCGGCCTCCGTTTGCAAACGTTCCTATATTCAATCGGTCGGGAGCACCTGGTCCTGATATATAAAACAAGTTTTAAATGAAAGATTCTAGCGAAAAGTTGATTTCCAACAAGACTAGAAATATTTAATACATTATACATTTCATATTTATTTGATACTAATAGATATATTCTTGTATGATTACGTTGTGTATTTTTCGTATGTACACGATTTTAATTGTGCCAGTTTTCATTCAAAAATGAATTTGGATTGTAATTCATTTATCTTACCTTTCAAATGCATGAGTAAGCCAGGAACTAATCTTAGTCTTCCAAGTGTTTCACCTGGTCCTCTGATATTATCTGGTCCTGGCGGTCCTTTGCTATACGGAGAATCCTGGAGAGGAAGGTACGTGTGTTAGGATTAGAGCGAGCAATAAGTAATGTCATGTCATGTTATTGAACAATTATTTCCGCCCAGTGGAAACAAAACGCTCTCAACCACCCAGTTTACTTTTTATCGACTTATATCAGAAGATAGTACTGAGGAATGCTTATGTATCATCGGCATCGACAATTATCAAATATTTGAATGAAAAGTAGATTTTCAGGCTAGAGTACTATTAGAGGGGAATTAAACCCTTGTGGTCGTGCAATAAGTTTTTTTTACAAATTTATTTTTACGAAAAACTTGTGACGTAACTGTGACGTAGGTTTTAATCGTTAAAGATGTCTAAACGTGAACGTAAGCAATGAATAGCGCCAAACCACCATGTGCAAATAAAGTTTAATTTTTTGTTCGAGGCAATGCATATACAAGAGCATTAGGGTTTGAAGCGAACATATTACAGCAAAGACCAGACGTAGAATATTACTTTATAAATTTAATAGGTAATAGGTATGGGATTCTGACAGCTGGCCAATCGTTTATCGCTGCAATCAAAAATTTTACTTGTAAAAACCTGTCCGAGAACAACGTGCTTTAGGATAAAAGATACCGGTACTCACCACAATAGGATCAGGTCTAAATTCAGGAGCTCCACTGCAATCGCTTGCGTCACAAATTCCTGGGGCGCCAGCAGCGCCTTGTCGTCCTTGTTTACCTCTTTTACCCATATCCCCACGGGCTCCTGGACTACCTGGCATACCTGTTATTCCTTCACCTGGTTTGCCTGGTGGACCTATAATAATAATAATAACATAGAATATATAAGTGGTTCAACAGTCTTGATTTATATCTTCAACTAGATTTAGTATCGCTGTTTTATTAGGTTCATTCAAACTTCAATCTATAACCTGGTAGTATGATGACACAGTTTAGAGATTATATTATAAGTATATTTACAACACAAAGACATATAGGGGGTAAAATGAAATAGTTAGCATTTTCCCATCATATTATCTATAGAAACTGAGATGTGGAATCCCCGTACAACATAGCAGCTAGCCGTTTGTCTTGACTTAATGATAAGGTACATTTAAAGTTAATTTTTGGACCTTGTGATTTTTTTTTTGTTTTAGACGGAGCAGAAAGTAATACTGCGCTTACCTTGAGGTCCGGGTGGTCCCATTGGTCCATGCATAGCTAGCCCTCTTGCGCCATTATCTCCCTTGTTTCCCCTTGGACCTGAAGAATGGTAAATGCACAAAATGAAATTTACAAGTTGTTAATTATTTATTTGATTCAATAGTCTTGAAGCACACTAACACAAATGTATTTCTGTATTTTTCCATTTTGGATCCACTTCCACAAGGGCATAGAGTAAGGAAAGGTAGTTTATCTTGCGTAACCCCAACTTATGATTATGGTTATTCGACAATTTATCTTATTTCTACATCGTCGCAAGTGACAGTTCACACTCAACATTCTAGTGCAACTTTGACTAGTTTTTAGTTTATATTTATTTGACACTAACCTGGTTTTCCACGCGCGCCTTCAGGTCCTTGTGCCCCCGGTCGACCAGGAGCACCATCCTTGCCTGGGTGTCCAATTAGACCTTGTAGCCCGTTTTGCCCTGGAGGACCTGATGGTCCTGGTTTACCTGGGAACGCTCTCTTTGGCATGCATCGTTGACATTCTTTTTGTAATGTGATCATGTATCTAAATAGGTGGAAGAGATTTGATTTTAATTTTTTATAGTAAATGCATTGATGCAAAGGAAGGACTTATTAAAAAAATAGGGAGGAGAGAGAGTGTTAATATCAAATTATCTGCTCTTTGCCCCAAAACTCTATGCAAATATAAAAAACTTTAAGAATAACAACTATCTAATTGTCCTATAGGCCTACCACTCAAAACCAAAAGATTTTGAGTTGCGCACGCTTCAGACATTTAAACAGTCACAATGCACCGGAATAACAGAGAAACATATAAAGTTTGTTTATGTAGACATTCGAAATGCACCAAAAAACTTTAATGTTCGCATTTTACCGGTTTCACTAAATACTTATAATTAATGCTAGCAAATGAAGAGAAATCTCACCTGGGCAACATTTCCGCAACGACTTTTGTGATTGCCGCAACAATTTCGTCCATATCTCGTGGCCTACCCTGTAACATTTATTACTATGATTAGTTCATGAACTACGAGTAATAAAATAATTTAAAAAGTCGGTGGATTGCCATTGTTCTCGTACACAAAATAAATCATTTAGATATAGCCATGGAAAATATTTTATTAATTGTACGATTGCTAAAATATAACGATCAATCTTAAAAAGATAAATAGAATAGAAATAAGAAAACATAAAATTAATAAATTAGGATAATAACTGTAGTTTGGCCTCTACCAAAGCAGGACATATTCTCTCTTTGAAAAACTTTATCTACTGAAAATATAACTTTATTATGATATAACAAGAGATAATTGGAAAAGTTCGGGGGCCGGAACAGTAGAGATTAGAGATGCACAGATCAATTGAATCGATAACGGTATTTGCAGTACAAGACCAAGTTCAACCCATAGTTCAAGCTCAATGATCGAATTCCAAGATTCATTTGATCCGGCGATATATTTTTTATTTATCACTCAACATAGCATGTGATAAATGGAATAGTTTTGATCAAGAAATTCGGATCCCTTAAAATTTTTTAACTACAATGAATCATTGAGCATTTTCGACCTTGTTGGAAATATAAAACAATTTAAAATAGAATAAACTGCTTACAATTTCTCCGGGGAATCCATCTTCTCCCTTATCTCCTTTGTCACCTTTTTCGCCCTGTTTCCCAGTCTCTCCAGTGTTTCCGATTGGCCCAGTATCTCCTTTGACTCCTCTGGGACCTGTGGGGCCCCGAAGACCTTCTGGTCCAGGCTAAAAAGTGAGTAAAATTAAATCTGTTACAACTGGACACAGGACCTTGTTTGTTATTAACCCATTTTTTTTTCCAAATCTAGTAGTAATTTTATTAAATACAAATTAATTTCATTATTGTGAAAAAGCGTCATTTTTTTTTGTATGTTTCGAGGTCCAAATGTATTTTACACTATATTACAACTACCTATTCGGGATAGGACCATAAGTCAGAAATGTCAATATTGAATGTTGTCTAGCCACTATAAATGGTACCTAAACCTATAGAATTTATGATAAACACAGTTTATTTATTCTTAATATAGTATTTTGAACCTTTGATGGCTATAAATTTGCTATCAGTGCTGAAAACTGAAACTATTATTGTGTGAAAACAACAAACCTCTCCTGGCCGTCCAACTTTGCCATTTTCTCCCTGTTAATAGTTGAATAGAGTTATATTTAGGCATAATTGTCTTTAATATTAGATCTTGAATCGTTAGATGTTCTTAACAACACCATAAGCCTACGCATGTACGAGAAAGCTGGGTATAAAATGAATGAAAATTGTACACGCGAGGACATTACGGATCCAAACACCATAAACAGCGATTCAAAAGTGTAATAAAATCGGCTAGTCAAAGACAAACGGTTATAAATACCAAATCCTGATAATATAAAAAAATATAGTCCACACGTATCGGTAACTGAGGCCAGACTTGATGTGGATAAATTGCACTGAACAACAAAGAGTCTTATTATGTACTAATAGCAACGATACTTACTTGCGGACCTGGTACTCCCGGTAGACCAAGTTTTCCAACTTCGCCCTAGATGGGAACAAAATATATCAGCATAAGTGACCGAGTAAAATTAAAAATTTGACTTAAGTTGGATGGGAAGATTTCAAAATAGTTTAGTAAGTTGGATTATTAAACTTTCTTGAACGTACCTGTTGACCTCTTTCGCCCTTGTCTCCTTCATGACCCTGCAATGTAAAAAGCACAAAAAATTGGTGACAACTTAAAACTCAATTTGTGTAAGTAAAGCATTGTATGATGGAAAGTGCATGTGGTCGTGCAGTGCGCAAATGATCAACACTTGTATTATAGGATATAAATAAACCAGTTTAATTTTATATAAGAAAGACTGCTATTGTACCTTGAAACCTGGAAGACCTGGGAATCCTGGATTTCCTGGGTACCCTTGTCTGCCTCTGTGTCCTTTAGGTCCCTGCAAGAACAAAAGAGTTATTTTTTCATTGTAGCATATATCTTCTTGGATGTCTTTTAAGTACGTTCAAATATATTCCAATTGTCCTAGCGTGTTAAACTAATGTATCAATATCCCATTGGCAACAGTATAACTTCAAAGAACTGCTGCATTGGTTATAATACACCGGAATGCAATTCAATTTGGATTCTGTAAATTGATAAAATTGTGCTGATCATATGACAATATTCATCCATGGAAAGTAGCAACCGTTTTTGTCTGTAAACTAGATTTTTATTCATTTTATGTTTGAATTTCGGTACTCGATTTACTCGATTAGAAATGACATAAATAAATTGAAGGAACTCATGTACTTAGTTTCGTTAGTGTAACAGAAATAAGACGTTTGACTCACCGCCTTTCCAGCATCTCCCATTGGGCCTTGTGGTCCTGTCGGTCCTGGTTCACCCTGTAAAACAAAATAGGGCTTTATGAGAAAAATAGATGGTTGCCAATATTTGTGATTAATATTGGATATATTTAGTAACACTGCATACACATGTTGTTAAGATATTAAAACTATTGCTATTTAAATGATTTTTTCTGAATAATAAATAGTGAGTAATTAAAATAAAATTGGGTATAACTATTTGATCGGTTCTTTTGCAATTACAATTATTTCAGCAAATTTACAGAAACACCATCAGTTGAATTACCCTACAAATGAAATAATCAAAATGTTTGCTTAGCGGCCGAGCTATTCATGAATGAAATTCGAGTTATGTCAAATCATGGCTCGAAATGCGTATTAATGATTTCCAGAGTTCTGTATCTCACATGTTATTGATTCAAAAATTGAATTTGAAAATAATAATTAACCTGGAATCAACTTTACCACCATCTCATGTATGTTATATTAGTAATCGTGTCTCCGGACCAAACATTCAAATATCAGAATAAAGTCATTTTGAAAGATATACAGTAATAGATATGATTACCTTTACACCGTCTATTCCTGGCACACCTGGCTCTCCTCTTGGACCGGCTAGTCCCTGTAAGTTATTAAATACATTTAGTCTTAGGTTTTCTCCAAAGTTTATTAGCTGACATTTTTATGACTTGAAATATACTTTCTCTTTAATTATAACTATAAAAATAACTTACTTTCTTCCCTTCTGGTCCTTGGTAACCTCTCATACCTCTGGGTCCACTGACACCCTATTAGTTAAAATCGAAGATGGGGGTGTTAGAAGTTTTTCATAATAAATCGGGGAAGATTTTGTAAATGACGGCAATTTTTAGTCCATCGTACAGTTCAAATAGTCAGAGCAAATTCAAATTAGTCTTTAAAGTTTTAAAATTTCAACTGTCACATTCGAATCGAAAGAAAGAAATAAGGTTGCAGTTTTATTCATAAAGTAGCAGTACTATTTATTTTCCATATCACCAGTACAGTAGACGACTTATCAATTACACTTACCTTAGGTCCCCGCTGTCCTGGGTCACCTCTGTGTCCTTTCATACCCTGGAGATTAGTCAGTAAATATTAAATTTCTGACTGATTTACGGAGTCTTGTTGCACACCAACTTAAAATTGTTTTTTAGTGTATTTGTTTGCTTTTATGTTGGTGAGCAGCATAACTTTTGAGCTACATAGACTGATCATCTTCAATATTGTGATGACCACCTTGTACTATAGGTTTTCAGCAGCACAAAGGCGTATAAGAAGAAATTGGACTGATATTGGATTAGTTGGATGAATAATGAATACATATATTAAATTTGTTGAGGATATTCAAATAGAAAACAATCTTTGGAATATATGAAACAGATTAGCGTACAAAATTTCAATGCAGTGAAAACCAGAAATAAATTGAGAATGCAACTACTGAAATAAATAATTTAACAGCAATTTGACAGATTTTAATTAGTTAGATTGACGTAAATTTTCACTAACCATAATTATGAGCATTGTTAGTTTATAAAATAATCTAAAATATTTGAAATATTATTGAATAAGTTTTATTCAAAACAAGAATGCATATTTTCTTACCATTCTGTAACTTGGTTTTCCGGCGTCTCCTATCAATCCTGGCAATCCCGGAAGTCCCTAAAATAAGACAATAGGTTATGGTCAGTCAGTATATTTATAACAGACATAAACATTGGGAAGTGGTTTGATTAATCCTTCATATAAATAGTGAACACAACCGGGATTTTTTGTGCAAAGTCCGCGCCAAAAATACCCCCAACAACGCCCAAAATAAGAAAATTAGTAAACATTCAGTTAGGGTTAGTGATGCAGATGGCGATGAAAATTCAAATTTTTAAATCAACTAAATATTTATTAATTTTTTATTTTAAAACTTGTCGCCGGTGTTTTTCTTATTTTGCATTGCATTAGTGGCGGGTTATTTACAAATATCCCTTAACCGAATTAACATATTCCTAGTTGAAAGTTTTCATGTTTTAGCACAAATATTGCACGATGCACACAAGCGTTCAAATATTAGAATTTAAAATTGCCTTTAGTTCAACTTTCCTTAGTCAAGTGTGCCATAACAAGCTACGTTTGCTGTACTCCGGAAGCAGTCAAATTGTAAGAAATAACCCTCTACATACTAAACCCATAAAATGTTTAATTGAGCAAAACGATCCGCACGCTCAATTCGCGTCTGTTCAGAATAGAATAGAGAAAATAGTAACTTATACTCACTCTGTTTCCTTTTTCACCTTTGGTTCCTTTCACTCGATCGACTAGATTACCTAGTTCAGCGTTGCATGGTTCACCCTAAAGATATGTAAAAAGTTGTCAATAAAAACTGTATTTTACATCAATTGCCTAACGCATTTGAACTTGTCGAAAATTTCTATCTATTTAAAATGCCCTATTATTTTATTTGTTTATGTGAAAAATTTTTATCACGTTCAACGATTTACAAATAAAAAAAAAACTAATAATACAGAATATCATCATGCAGAATTCAGAATGAGAATCAATGAAATATAGCCATACAATTTTATAAACCATTCAATTTCATGATTGCATTTTGTGCAGAAATAATATTTACTCTGACCGTAAAAATTAGAGTATAAGCTGAATTAAAACAAGTTAAATATTAACCATTCAACTTACTTTAGCACCTTTAAATCCAATGCTGCCATCTGGTCCTTTGGGTCCATAGTTACCCTGTACATTAGCAAAGAAGAATATAAATTTAGATTCACAGCTGAAAATATTGATTTGAATTAAAAAAACAAAAATAAAAAAGTGTCGTTTGAAGAGGAATAGCTGAATGGCTGCTTTCCAAGGTGAATGCGTGACAGCACCTCTTAAAAATAAATACCAAGATGATCACGCCGCGTACCAAATAAATGTTTCACGCATACATCTGCACAATCGTTGTAATATAACAGACAATATAGTGAATATCCTTTAAAACATCTTCATCCCCTGCTCAATGTAAAGACTATATTGTATGGTACCTTTCGGTAAGCATAAAAAAGAGATCTTTGTTCTATGAGCCAATATGATTCACATCTTGATCTTAGGGAATAGGGAAGCCTCATAAGCTTACTTATATAGCGAACTTGTACGATATCCGTCCACAGGTGCGTGCACATGAAGGAACATAAACTAAATAAATATTCGTTGCATAAAATAAACTTAGTGTAAATACGATACCTTTGGTCCTTTATCTCCCTTCAGTCCCCTTTTCCCTGATACGCCAGGTGGGCCCATTCGTCCCGCAATTCCTACTGGGCCTGGAAATCCTGGTGGTCCAATGTCACCCTAAAAGCAGACAATGATTTGTTTCATCTCCAAGGGGATTTCAACTTAAGCTAAACATGAACATTAACTGTCTAAAATTATATCCTACAAAAGTAATATCGTGTTAGAGCTTATTCGATGCCCATGTTAATACTGAACCGAATATTGTATGTTTATGACTTTCAACCTTGACAAAATATTTCTAATAAGTTGAGTATTGTATTAACTGCGAATTTACAAAAATAATTCTGTGAATTTTTCATAAAAATTAATCCAAAGCAAGGAACATTCGTTTACATACATGTGATAAGGGTTAGGGTTAGAGTTAATCAATTCAAATCAAATCATTCAAATCATTAATTCAAATCAACCACCACGTGAACGTTTTGTGGAAACCAGTTAACACTGGTTGACGCCAGTTTAAACCCGTTATTCATTGTATTTTCTCACCTTCAAACCGTCATTTCCTGGTTCTCCCTTTGGTCCTCGCTCTCCCTAAAAAGCAAAATATATTTGATAAACGGTCCTCTGTTTAGAGTAGTTTCTTATATAGCTAACACCATTATTCTTTTATTTGATGAGAAAATATTTCACAAGGTTTCCTTATTTCAATTATTCAAAGAGTCAGAAAAGAATTAACCTGAAGCATGTTTGATGATCTATTATTGTTAGTTAGTGGTTCAAGATAAACAGAATTCGCAATTACGATACAACTTTGCCAACTAAATGTTGATCAATTGCAACTACTAGAAGTATCAAGTTAGTATTGTACAAGTATAGTATGGTACCGCATTGACATCGTGGATCGTGACATTGTCACGAAATCTCGTAACAAAACATTGGTTCGTCTATCCATGTGTCAACAATATATAAGATTATTTTGAATATACTGAAAGCAAATTTAGTCAATCAAAAGTAAAGGTGATTGATCTCTGAGCAACGTCACGGATGATCACCGAAGTGTCAGGTAAAAAACTTATATATACTAAAAAAGGGCGCTACAGAAGTGTGTGTATCAATATGAAAATAACTATTTTTTTCGTCTATTTTACATCAAGTTGTATAAAGGAACTGGAACCTATGGGCAGAGGGTATTCACTTGGCTAACACAGACAGTCCCCAAACTCGTAACAGAACTAAATTAGGGGAAATTGGAATTAATTATGCCCTAACTCTCACCTGGTGCACACACTACGGGGGTACCCTAAAAAGTGCTAAATATTTGCAATTACCTTAGGTCCTGGGATGTATTCAGGAGGCGGGCATTCGCAATAGGTTGTATTATCTGTTAAAGGTCCAGGAGAAGGTCTCTGATAATAGAAATCATTATCAATAACTTGTCCAGGTTCCTCAGGTATTTGTTCTTGCGTTACTTTCATATTGTTGTGGGTTGTTTCATCTGTTTTATTTGATTGCGTGATTTCAAACTTATCATCTCCATTGATGTCTAAATAGTATGAAATAATAAATCTTAAAACTTAACGAAAAATAACAGATTTATCACTCGGTATCACAAGGAAACTATATTACCCTAAATGTGCCCCCGAACGCAATGCTTTATATTTATCTTGTTATCTTTTTATCTCAATATAACTTATATGCTCAATGTGAAGGGATGGATGCATCATCGTTTTTCGACTAGTGTGTCTACTTTTGATCACAAAAAATGACTGAAAAACTATTATTGTATTATTGACTTTTCTAATGATGGTAATAGATATTTAGTCTGAAACTTTTGTGTTAGGTATTCCCGATCTCTAGATGATACAATAATCACAATTGTAGTCTAAAGTAGCATAGAGCACAGAATAAAAGAAAAATTTCAACTATTATTAGAAAAATGAAACTATTATGAAATTTAGAAAAAAATAAGTCCTATACGTCCCTGTCCTGACTTTCTCGTTTTAAACTCTCCTCGCGTAGATGTAGTAAGAACAGTTTAGAAATAAGGTCAAAGGTTTCAATTCAATTCAATTCAATTGATTTCAATTATTTATTGTTAGATACAAACCTCCATCTTTACCATCAGTTTTTCTAAGCGTGAAGGTTGAATGACTTTGACGCTGAAAAGTCTGGTTGTCGCTTTGTTGAAATTCTCCAGCAAGATTTTGTGTGTTGAATCGGCCTCTTATCAGAGTTTCTGATGATGTGTGATGCTTTTGTGAGGTTTCGACTTCAAGCAAAAGGTTTGTTCGCTAAAACAAAACAAGATGTTTTAAAATATAGAACTAAGTATCATATAGCCGAAGTAGTTGAATCAGTTCTTATTGACTGATATTTCCAAGATATGATGATATAATATACGAGGCATTTTTTTTTTGAGACAACATAGGCTACATGGAAAATGAGACAAACAGATACAAGTATTATATTGTTGTAACTTATTCATATAAGTCCATGCAAAAATAAATATTTGTGAACGTTTAAATATCTATCAGGCTTCTTTGATATACTATATGCCAAAATATAAAATTCCTAGTTTAATTAAAATGCAGTTGTTCCTACATATAAGAGGTAAGCAATTGTTATCTAAAGTCTTGTTCTGAGTGAACGTTTGAAGCTAAAAAACACGAGCTTACCGGAATATCTTTCTGCAATCCATGATGAACCATGCAAGAAAGAACAACAATAGTTAAAAAACAGAAGTCTTTCATTTCAAAGTATTTTAGTAGCTAAACCAGGAAGAACCTGTTCTTATAATTGCTCGAGATATAATGTTCGTCTCATAGAAAGCTCGCTTCTTATATAAGTGATTTTTTTCAACACAAAGGTGCCAAAATCAATAATGGGATCATTTGTATTTTGATATATTGTTGCGTAATATTGGTGATATATATCACTAGATGTCTAGACGTTCAAAACTGCACAAAATTAACTGGAATTCAACTATGTTGCAAAGTCATTTTTACAATTGAGCAACATCTACAAGTAACGTCATAGGCCATCACAGATTTTAGAGAAACATTGGCCAACAACATTTTTTCAGTCTCGACCTATACGGATACCCGGATGACTCGGCCTCGTGTACTCCTTATCATTTATATTCTCTCAACAAAATTACTACGAGAAGAAAAAATTATTTTTCTTATTCGTGCCCCAAGCTCGAAATCATAATACCACTACTATTAAATTAGCGCCTTTTCTCAGTGAACTTGCTGCTTTGTTCATAGTGAACAACGCGCGGACCAGTATTTGAGTTATAACTCCGAAGTCACGCTTCACGTATGCGTGATAATGCAAAAGTAAATAACTTTATAGTTTTATAACTGGCTACGTTTGTAGGAATATTTCACAGTTTATGTCGTAATCTGTTCCTCATAAATCTATCACCAGTCACCACAGTCCGAGGAATTGATCGATATTTCACTTATTTCAAAAGTTCGGCAAAACCTAGGATTAGATGAAATGAATTGTTTTGAGCCGAGCAAACAACACAAAGAAACTCTGATCACAGTGATGGTTTCCGCGACAGATTCAAACAATTTTGTGCCCGATTTTTCGACCACGAAACGGACCTATGGATTTTGTTATTATGTTGTTTGTTTGTTCCTCTTGCAAGTATTTTTATTATTATTATTGTTATGAAAAAATTGCTTTCATCATCAATTTCTTAACCCACGTTTGAAATTTTCAGCGGTTGAAGATTGTATTTCTCGTTAGAAGGCTATTTAATATTTTTATTTACTTCAAAAATTCCTGTGGCGCTCTATAGGATTCGTTTCTTATGTGCATGACGTCATTAAAATTAAAAATTGCGCACCTTGTGACGGTTACGCGTGCGCGTTTGTGAAAACCAGGATTATACCAATTGTTCTGCGCTGATCAACATTTTTGAAGCGACAGATTAAAACAACTTTGTGTCTAAATTTTGTGATGGATTTTTAGTGATTTTAGAGCAGTGGCGTAGCATCCACCCCCGCAACCCCCGCGGTCGCGAGAGTGCCCACAGCGCAAAGGGGCCCAAGCGGTTAGAATTTAGAAATTTAAGCCGCATACCAAAAGCTACAGTGCAAACCAAGTAATGCACATCTTTTAACGTTGATGTTAGTTCTACTCAAATCGTTTTGTTACGTAACAATGCCAGGGAGTCGTCGATTTTTGGCGTCTTGTGATTTGATCGCACCGGCAAAATTACGGAGGCTGTCAGAATGATGTCAAAAGCAAAACCTCTCAGTGGCGCACAGAAACGCAGAAAAAGAGCAGAAGAGGAAGAACGTATGAAAAAAATAAAGTAACCGAGATAAACAGCAAATTTTAGGTTACCATTGCCTTTTTATAGCGACATGTTGTGCTTTTTGACGAAATAAAAAAAGGGTTGTTTTAGCTTATGTCCGAGAGTTTTTAGGGTCATTTCCACGAAATATTTTGCGGGGGGGCCCACGAGAGTCTTGCTACGCCACTGTTTTAGAGCAATTGAAAAATATCAAAGTGCGTTTTTGAGGGTTCATCATCATTGAGGCTTTGTGAAACTACTGCTAATAGCATTTATTGTAGCTTTAAAACTTTTTACTCATTTAAAATCTATCCCACGCGGATAAAATAAAAGTGGCAAAAAAATAATTTTTTTAACATTTGCGTTTATGGACACTGCGGACAGCAAAACAAAAATTTACATTTTTCATAGTTTTAGGATTTTCGTTGAATGCCCTTCCCCCATTGTTCTATATTGCAAGAATGTAACCCAAACGTACCTTTAGTCCGATTCTGTCACACGAAAACCTTTCACTCATGTTGATATCGACATCACAAATTAGATCCAATTGCTGCAGGTTGACCTAAAATGAGATTCATGGAGTTATTTTGTTATCAGATGCTTGCGTTAATTATATGCTGTAATTCAATTGGGAATATTTGTATTTAAATTCACGCATTAGCAATTTTTTATGCAAATCAACTTGGGAGCTATTTTCTATAATATCTCGTGTTGAAGACATTAATTCAACTTTTTTAACCTAACTGACGGAAGTCGAGATGAAGAATGTACATTTCGTGTTTTTCCTCTCTGGGATCTTAATTGGCTCAGATCACAATCCATCTTTTGTTCTACGGGAAAAAATTCTAATCACAAATTGTCTGAAAAGAACCTATCCATTATAATAAGGTCTGATAATATCTAATTTTATATATCACCCTTTACGGGGGTAATTGAAAAAAATCAATTTATATTTATGTTGCTGTAAAGAAATGAGTGCTTGGTATTTTATTTTTTTTTTCAAGTGAAAGCCAACAACTTTGCCTTGAAATTTATACCCAAATCGTATAGGGCATTGTGAATTATTGCAATATCATTTGCTCACTTGTATTTCTGGATCAAAGGTACCCATTTTAGCGATACTGATTTCGCCATCCGCTAGTGGTCGACCGAGAGAAGAATTGAATGTAATAATTTCGACCACTTCACAGTCGATGTACAACATCACCCCATCTGGTGTTACGAGTAAAGTCAGCTTGTGAAACCCTTTTCCAAAAAGCTTCTGGGCATCTAAAAATAGCAGTATTTTATAAATTCAATAAATTTGATAATTCATTTTCCAAGGGATACCGTATAAAGTTTTTTCTATGACCATGGGCATGTTGTTCAGTATGTGGTGTCGATGTTACCATGTGTTATCATTGCAGGTTGATATCTCAGAAAAGATAAAGTACTTAAGCAGCATGAATCGACTAATTATAACAAATTACAAAATGCCACTTTCGGCTTAGCGGGTATATCCAGTCGTTCCTTGATTGATCTAATTTTAAACGCTTTGGGTGTAATTATTTTATTACATGTTATAAACCAGCGATTTAAACCGTTTTGCTAGAGCGGACCCACTGAAACATTCCATAGGATAGAGTAACCCATGTGCAATAGTTTAATTGACTTTTTTGTGCAGATCGTTCGAATATATATAAAAGCAAACAATATGGCGTAACAAAATAGCATATAAAGTGTAGGAAATGTAGAAACAGTGAAAAACCTAATAGTTATTTGATTTTATTTAAACACAATGCATGATCTGAAATAAACTCTCGAATTCGAACAGGAACTTGGGGAACGCCTGGCTATGCTGGCGAAACCCTAGGGTGTCGTGGAACCCGTGTCAAATACCGCTGACATAGACACTTAGCTGAAATTTGCTCTTCTTGCAATATTTCACTTATTCCGAATTGCTAATTTTGGTCACAGTGATACACGAATAAGACAATATCAAGCATAACACTGGTACCTGCAAAAACTACAGACACTGTCTCCATATTATCGTTCATAGTGATGTACTCAACACTTCTGTTATGTCCCGATATTTTCACCGCTTCCATCACTTCTCCTCTGGTGTTATGAACCTCAAATAATGACCAGTCGTTGTGAGATGCTTGTTCGTTCATTTTTATTGTGGCAATAATGGAGTAGTAACGTGGGATCCCGAGCGGTAGAATTAAACTATAAAAGGGTTAGATATACATATGAATAGACTCAGAGCCGGACTATGCCGTTTGAAGGCCCTAGGCACTTGGGACTTTGGTGCCCTATATGTGTCTTTCAAAGTATTAACACAACAAACTACACAAGATATTATAAATCAAAATTAACAATAAAAACAAAAATAGCTTGATAATAATGTGTACTTTTCAGTATTCAGTACTAATGAAGTACCAAGTTATGCTTAATTCAAATGATTTTTTTGGAAACAGACATTGCCTGTTTACTTTGTGCAACTATTCAAAAATAATATTTAAAATACTATTTCCCCATACTCCAAACGGAGACGGAGTTTAAATCCGATATCTGTATTGGCACATTCGAGACCTCATTCTTAATTCCAAATTCCCAAACATTCATTCGGACGTATCACCCACAAAACTAATCAATTAATCAAAAAATTTATTCTTTACCTGACTGGGTTAATCCTTAGATCTACTTCATGATCAACGCTATATGCTGTAGCATTCTCATAACTTCCATTCGATTTTGTCACTTTATCGTTCTCATCAATGTTCATCAATCCAAGAAGATCGAATCCTGTAATGAAAAAAATTTAAAATTAATTTTTATTTTCCAATAACACGATGTCAATGGAGAGAATGTAACAACTGAAAATGATGCAACAGACATGGAGAGAATATGTGGGTCGTTTTGCTAAAATATAGTTTACGATGTTTATATTCCTAAGATAAAATCTCCTATCCATTCTAATTAATTGATTTCAAATTGTTGGTGCTGAAGATGGAAGTGTTGCTCAGACATTTATGTTTAGTATGTTGTCAAAATATGTTGGGGTTTTATGGATTATGTGTTTTCCCAAAAACTGGCAATCATTTGACGATTTAGCATTTGTGTTCGATTGTTTAGTAAAAGTCTCTCCAATTTGTATAAGTTTGAGAAAGAAATTGCACGTCATTTATTTTTATCTTTATATACGTTCCATGACTGTAATTTATGAATGTCGATGATATATATATTTCTAAACAGCTAAACTAGAATATTCAAGTTTTTATTACACAAGTTTGCTCTATGCAAGATTGTCATCACCCAGATTGAAAGGGACAGTAATAGAATATTTGAAGTGATCACTGACTAAGAATAATATTTGGGATTATATGTGACAGATAATATATGTGACAGATATTTACTTAGTTGTCGAACCAAGGATCTTCTCCTTTGATATGCAAGAATATGGGACATATTTTGATTGTATAAATTGCATGCCATTCCATACCTGTAATTCCACCATCGATAATGTTACCGTTGCTGCAAATTTCTTCTAAAAAGATATAAAAGTTTCACCAAAGTTACACAAATTCATTATGAACTGTGACAATTAACGATCCGATAAAATGATCTTTTAAACAATGACATCTTATATATATTATTTAAGAAAAATTTAAATTATGATATACTTCAGTTTTGAATTTAGTCATGCTAGATGTTTTTAAACTTCGTAATATCTCTACGTGATTCTCCAGTCGGTGAAGTAGTATTTATTGAAAAAACCTATATATTAGTAAAAATACCTTACCATTGCAAAGTTGCTTGGTCAGATCTAAATTGATTTTTTGTAGTTCGTCAAAGTTTGGAGTGACGTATGCATGTGACATCACGGGTTCAGAAACTAGATGCTGAATTTCTTGCGTATAGATTCCTTCGCCAATCTAAGTGAATAAATGTTAGTCTGGCATAACAAATACCTTGATTTCTTCCTACAGAGTTTTACTATTTCTCAATGTAGATCCTGTAAACGTAGTGGCATTCGTTTCTGATAGCTACAAAAGTGCTTGAATGCAATTCAAAACAACGTACATATTTGTTCCTAATCCATACGGAATCCCTATGAGGTTTTGAATAACTACAAATGTTTGATCTTAATATATTGCTCTTATATTGTTTGCTCAAAGCAACGCCACCAGGACTCACGCTACGAACTGACAGAAGTATCTATTCTGGGGTAAACTGCAGTTTTTGTGCTCATATACTGCTTATTGTGAACTTTCATCGACTCATTGTGGATCTTTCATCTTTCGCTCCAGAAGTGTATCAATATGAAGGTAACTAATTTTGTTCGCCTACTTCAAGTTGTGTAAAGGGACAGAAACCGATTCACTTGGCTAACACAAACAGTCCCCGAACTCGTAATAGAACTAAAATAGTCTCAGCTCAACCAGAAAGCTTAGGAAAAATCGGAATAAAATTAGGGCATAACCCTAATCCGTATTTGCCTTGGTACATATACTACAGGAGTATCCTTTCATCAATAAAACCTTGTACGGTTGAAGAAACAAACTGATGTACATAACAAAAGTCTTACCACTATTAAGTACTTTTCAACGCCATCCTGGGATAAAACATTAGCAATACGTTCCGACATCATGCTTCCATCGTTCGTTATCATAACCATTATATGTTGTGTTCCAGAAAACAATTGTCTGGCTCCGTTTTCCTCTGAGAATCTGAAGTTTGATAAGTACAAATTGATGAGTACAAATTTAGTCCTTGCATCAATTATTTCAGCACTTTCCATTTCTATCACCCATAACGTTTGATTGATTGTATATTATATTGCAACTTTTTTTAAAATATCAAAAAAGTTTAAATCAACTCCGATTACGATTATATAAAATTTTTGAATTTGAGCTTGGCTCCCGAATCCGTGAGAACGTAAATCGTACCATGTAAACTTTTGCGTTTAAACACTTTTCGATTAGGTTTATATTTTCGATTCTGAATATCTGATTTAAGAACTTTGAAATATCGAAATCAAAATTTTAAAACTCCAGACCCAACACAAACACCGGAAAAATTTAAAACAAGGATCTAATGGATCTTTCCCCGACCTTTAACCCCCGGAAAATTCTTCCTATTCTTTACCATTGCAAAATTTCCGAGGCTATTTTAGGAGTGCTTTTGCGAGTTGGCGCTTGTAAAATGGAGTATTTGTTTCAAACCAACATTATGATTCATCGCATACAACGATTTGTTTTTTAAAAGAACCGGTAAAGAATTTCAGGCTAGTCTATCACAGCTATTTCTAAACTAATTTTCATTACTGCAATTTAATTAAAACTCCTAGAAAGACAGAGTAATCATTGAATTATCTGATTTATATTTAAGTTTCCGAAACACAACTGGAAACTAACAAATAGAGTTTAAAAACGCGAAAATGAGGTAATGTTTACAACCACGCTTGAAAATCTGTCTGAGTGAGAAAAGTGTCTGAGCAAATGCGAAAAGGGGGCATTGTTACGTCACTTTTTGCATCTTGCTGATTGGCCAATGTCACAAAGTAAACAAGGAAGTCGATGCTCGGGGAAAGGTCCATAGGAATAAAAAATGTAACAATCCCAATTTAGATTTCAATTCCGCAGCTATGCTTCAAAACCAAGTCAAATAGTAGCCGTGGGTAGCGCATTGCGATTCATGTCAATAAAATCTCAAACAAAGTATTGCCGATAGTTTTTTTTCAACTTACATTTCGATGGCAGCGTCAAAATAGTCTTCGCCTTGTAAGTCCTGTGTTTTGTTGTCAGATGCGATCCTCGAGATGGCATCCAGGAGCAGTTTTTTGTCTGAATAATTTTTAAAACTGATCATTACGTTTACAAATACATCAAATGTAGCGATTCCGACCTGTAAAATAAAAAAGTAAAAATTTATTAAATTCTATTTGAATTCATCCATGTTTCTACAGAAAATAATTGTTATGTAGGCTCTGAGACAAATCAAATCTATTTTGGTTGGCTCAGCGTGTTGACCGGTTACGTTTTTACCGCTTCGGACATTGAACGTTTATATGTTTGAAAATCCTGTTCCTGAAGATTGGTTTTTGTGTGGACTTCTTATTCATCTTAATGAATATTAAGTTCTAATAAATTATTACGTTCCAGTTCTTTCTAAATATAGCAGCCATTGACAGAATCAGTCATTAGGCAGGGGTCGGGAACCTTTTTGGTCAAGAGAGCCCTAAAATATACATATTTTCAATTGCATTACCGTGCGAGCCATATAGCATTACTTCACTTGATCAGGCCTAAAATTTTTACTCAAAAATCAACACATACAATGTCAATATACATTTAACGTGACTTCTGATGCTGCATGTTGTCGCTGCGGGCCTTGAACGGTTGCTCACATGCAGCCCAAGTTGAAATCTACGATACTCATCACCGTTTTTCGTTTAGGCATCTCCGTAGTATTTTAAAACTCTATCGCTTTGTGATGTCACAATATATGTTCCAGAATCCCCATGTTTTGTCACAATGCCTGTCTGGTAATTCTCTTAAATAACATAGACATGCGCTGGGCCCGCGTTGTCAAACGTATTGGGATTTTTTTTGCCAAATTTGACCATAAAATAGTTTGAAGTCTAGTAACAATAGTAAGCCTAATCTTAGAATAATAGATTTTTCTGGGAGCCATATGCCGTCACCAAAAGAGCCATATATGGCTCGCGAGCCATGGGTTCCCGACCCCTACATTAGTGGATCCTCGCCAATAGCTATGTTCAGTTAGATGTCGAGTTATACTTAAACATGGAACAGACATATTTATTACAAAGTAACAAAGCAGCATACCAGTGTATCAATCAAGTCGTATTTGATTGTTCTCCGTGTGCATAAAAGTTATTACATCTACCCAAAAGGGAATTTCTGCATAATATTTAGCTTACCCTTGTCTCGGCTGAAGAAATTGGGAGATTTGATAAAGATTCTCTGACAAAATTCAGTATTTTTTCAAAATCTATTGATACCATGTCGTAAGATGTATCGATAACAAACATTATATCTGCTGGTTGATTGTAGCAATTACCTGAAAGCAGATAAGAACTTGAAAAGATAGAGCAAAAAAATTGAATATGGTTAATAGATGGATAGTTAATAGATGGATGGATGAGAATAGATATTGGAATAATCTACTGATGACATATTTTCTGTACAAGTTTGGCCAATGTCACAAAATATTTTTGAGGAAATAAATTACCACCATGGAACCAGAAGCTGAATAGACCTAAAAAGGGAATATTCAAAATCAATGTCAGATATTGACTGCGGCGAGCGTCAAAGCAGGCTGAAGAAAATGCAGCTACATAATGAGGCGGCTGATCGTAAATACATTCAGCGAAGGTTATTGCAAACCACCATACGTTTTTTGTGACCTGATACGAAAGCAACAAACAACTTCAGTAATATTAGAATGTAATGTCATTCCATAAAACATTCTTATATATCTGTGATTGCTTTTGTGGCAATTTTAAGTTTATCTGTCAGCGAGTGAAACTAAAACTAATGCAAAAATATGACATATATATACCTGAATAATTATGGAGTAATTGTTCTTGCGATATTCAACCAATTAAATACACTCAATGACTTCTTTAAATTACCTATATTTGCAAACATTTCATTGCAAATTTCAGAGCTATACTTACTGTTTTGCAGAATTCTTCTGACGTTTCTTTCATTTTCTTGTTGTGAAAATCGATTCAGGGATGTGTCTTGCATGACTATGAAAAAGAAATGTAAGTAAAATAAAATATCAACATAGAGCTACAATATGTTATGTCCAATGATGGGGTTCAAAATTTTTAGAACAGTTTCTCTTTTGTTCTCAATTAATTAACAACAGGTTACCTCATTTCAGAAAAACCTTGCAAAACTTATAGATCCAAAAATGAAGACCGAATCAAACCACTGAATATAGGCCATATGTCCAATTTAGTTTAGAAGCAATCGTAGGGGAAAATGTTAATGAAGATTACAGACTCCAGTTCTGCGTGGTATTCGCTGAAATTGGCATATACCAGGCTTCGTTACTAAATTATCTTTGTGGCCAAAATAGATTGTCGATTTGTATTTAAGGTTTCCGACAAAATAAACTATTAACATTAATCAAGTCTGTGCCGGGATTGTTAAAGTCAAGGCCACGAAAATATTGAAATCGACTTCAATTTCCGACTCCGGTTATCTAATAACCCCAACGCGGATACCCACCCCATGAATGATTGTATTTTTTCTGAACTTCAAAAGTAAATTTCGCCTCCGATTTTTAAACCGGGAGGGAAGATTTATCTTTTGACTTAAGTTTTATGTTAAAATTATCAAACGAATCAAACCTTCAATAATATTTGCTGGGATTTCTAATTCAGTATTGCCCTCTGCTGGGTGTTCATTTGTTCCATCTTCATGCTTTCTCCTCAAAGCTTTCTTGTTTTTTGCTTTTTTGATAAATTTCTGGAAGTAATAAAATCAAATTAATTGAAATAAGATTTGTGTTTTATTGATAAATTTCAATACTTCGCTTTATGATCAACTTTTAAACTATTATTGAAGCTTTATTTCGAAAACTCTAAATTTAATTTTCGGTTTGGTATATAGATTGAGTAACAATACAGAATAAATATTTTAATCAACGATAGATATATTAACGTAATCAAGGTAGGGTGACGATATGTCAACTATATTGCTATTCTGCAATACTTTAAAATTTTAAAAGATTAAACTGAACTCAACTAGATCTGTCTAAAATATAGATATAGATACTGAGCATACTTTTTTATTTGCACCACATTTCTTTGTCGTACAGTCAGAATTCTTTTTTGTAGGTGCGACTCTCGGATCTGAAAGATTTAAAACTTTCCTTTGATTGATTTTCTTAACGCGACTGGGAGAAACTTTTTGAGCCTTTTCTTTTCTTTTTTTCTCTCGAGCTAGCCTTCTAGCAAGTTTATTTTTCTGAAATTTCGTCAGTTTCTTTTCCGCAGCAAATGATTCAGTTTTTACATCGACCTGCGTACTTGTGTTTTGAGCAACCTTTGCTAAAGGTTCTATATTGAAAGTGGCTTGAATAGTCGAGTTTGGCTGAGTTAACTGAGAAACTGTAAGTTGAGCGTTCTCTGAAAAAAAAACGTAAAGTATATCTAAACGAAATGGTGACAGTCAAATATCTTTGAAGTCTCGAGATAACCGATAACATCAAATGTGTTATATTCCACTTTATTGTTCATACGAAAATTATCTATGCATGATTTTTTCCTCTTAATACGTTATGGGGCTTTGCATAAAGTCAATATTTTGGAAAAACTTTCGAATATATATACAGGTGCCATTGATTAATTTGTAATTTAATTAAATTTAGGGAAAATTATAGCCGTGAAATATGAAATGAAAAAAGAAGGCAATTTGAACGTCTTCCAGTGATAATCGTTTTATTATAAATGTATACAATTTCCGTGGCTATATTTAGTGGATATGTCAGTTTATTTTGGTTAAGTCATATTTCAATATCAAAACTTACAATTTTAGTAGCCGCTGTTAAATAATTCAAATTTTGGGTTTCAAACTCATTGGCCACAGCTCATCAAAGGAGTCATAAATTGAGTAGGCAATGTCAAAATGGAAACGCAAATAAACTTGATTAAAACTTACGCTCAATCTCTGCACTTGAAAATGATATGCAAATTACGCCTAATATCAGTAACCGGTAACACGCCATTCTGAAGGCTGATCAGCGTCCGTGGTTCAACTTCTGTCTTGTTTCTCCGAGGTTCGAGTAGGTTGTGATATTTAGTTTAAAAAACTAATGAGATTCCTAAAAATTATACTTGTAAGTGCTCCGCTTAGGTACTCATTCCGTAAATAGGATTTTTTAAACGAAACTGTAAATAAAATATGAGATTGATGCGGTAAGAGAGTTTATGCGGTATAAGACGATCGAATTTCATTATTGAATATGCATGCATAATTTTTATATCAACTTTTTGAAACATTTCGTGTTCATTCAAGTCAATTGTCAAGTTTGTTGTTTATTATAATCAGCATGCAAATTAATTGTACTTCGAGGAGAAGGATGAAAATATTCTCACAAAAAGTCTCCCATTCTCCAACTTCTCAAATCAAAAATACCCCGTTTTTGTAAAACTGTAGTTGGTCATTGCAACGAGGAATTGGCCTCGTAGGACGTTCACTCCTATTCGAACTTCAATGACGTCAGCTAAATTTTATACCAGGCCAACGCTTGATATTTTAGTGACTTCGCTCGGTAATCATTCTGTTTAATTTCTGAATAAGTTCTCGTGAGCTTGCTCTACTTATTTTACATGAAAAATGAAAACGTTCCTAACAATGAAGTTGCTGGCAATGCTCCTTCTTGCGACAAAGATGTCAGCAGATGTCGATCGAAAAAAAAAATTAAGTCGATGAAATAACAGCATATCAGTAGTTTTCGAAAAAAATGCTCGAAAATTTTGTTGGAAAGCTTTACGATGGAAAGATCGACTGTTGCTAATCTAGTGGTTAGTCACTTATATCTTCATATTTGCTAAATATTTTCAGTAAATCGAGACTGACATGAGATTCAAAACATTTTAAGGCGATACTGACAAGCAAATAACTGAAAACTGTTAGTTCTTGAAAAATCACTAATTTCGTTTGCAACCTATTCAGTTTAATGATCTGATCAAAGCTAAGCTATTGGGTTAGTTATTCACATCATTGCTCTCTGCGATCTCTTTTTACAATAAAGTGAAGCATTCGAGTTAATCCGTCCTTTAAACCCTGCTGCATTCCGTAATTATTTACAATAGAAACAAAATTAAAGAATAATTCCCCACTAAGTAAACTTCAACTCTTTGGCGACACTTGTAAGAAAACAACTAATCAAATTAAGCAATTAAGAACAAATATGCGCGCAATTCTCAGTTTGGCGTGAAATTTATTTCTAAATTTAGATAAAGACGTTGTTGAAATTGCGATTAAATCACTGTTTAACGACATTAACAAGAGTAATGACATTCGTAAGCAAAGTTAAACATATTTGAACTCTCTGTGCAACGAGTAAATAGTTAATTTATTAGACAGCTTTACCTCAAGTTCGCGTAGGTGTAATAACCAAGCTTATATCGAGTTGGGTCGACAATTTATATTGCATGTTGGTCTATAATTCGTCTACAGCAGGGTCATCCAATCTTTTTGGCCGAAGGGTCACATGTAGTTTACTAAGAATTGCGCCAGCCACTTAACATGGCATTATGTTCTAGTTTTGCTACACTGACTACAGGTTAATGAAAAAACAAACAATACCCGCACACCAAACTTTCACAATTATTATACCAATAAACTGTTGTTTCTCAACCATTGATGTGGCTCCATCAGTAGTTATTTCCGAAAGTTTCGCCAAAGCCAAGACGCTTGATTTTTTTCATCACAGCTTCCAACAGACCAATGCCTCTAGTCGTACCCTTAATAGAAACAATGGCTGCGAGCTTTGCGGTAATTTCAAAATCATTATCAACTCCGCGCAAGAAGATCGCCAACTAGACAGTAAACTTGATGTCAGTGCTTCCGTCAAGCGCCGAGGAATACGATGAAAATATTCCGTCATTTGCAATTAAAGTTTCCGCTATAGAGTTCTCAAGCTCTTCGACATGACGAATTATTGTCCGTCTTGACAGACTATCGCTGCAAACACCTCTTTTATTTCCGGACGTAAAACATTGGCAACCCGAACAATACATAATGTACAATGCCTAACGAATGCTTAATCTGAGAATGGCTTCGATTGTTTTGCAATAACGTCATATAGAGTAGTGAAAGACCACGTGTGTAAGCGGCTATGGCAACTTTATTTATCGATATCTCCTCCCAGTTGGTTACGATTAAAAATGGCACTACTTGCTCGTTTGAAAGGGCTGGCAGAGCGCATTTTAGGATAATAAACAAATCGTTTGTATCACATCTTTGTATACTACATCACTCGAAAAATAGTTTTACTCCAATTTTTTTTCATTTAATTCTGAAAAATACAGCGCGGGCCACTCGAAATGCCACGAGTTGGACGACCCTGGTCTTTTAACACCTAAAAATAGTCACGATTAAAAAACTTTTCTCAAATTCTCTTTTTTGAAATGAAATATCCCAAAAAGTCATTTACTTTTTGATGCAATATTTTTTTTTGAGTCGTTTTAGTTTGAGTTTTGAGTCAGTTCTTCGTCTCATTAGACGATCAAAAAGTATGTATATTTCCAAAGCATTAAAGTTAATACAGAAACTTTTGTTGTTGATTTTAACTTTGGTCCAACTTCACACCCTTTGAGTTTAGCAACTTTTTGGAATTTACGTGGTGCGCTTTTTCTTCGTATCTCACTGGTAATCTGACATTTGTTTCATGTTTATGCCAAGTGATTTAAAACTCTAGATTTCTGAAAAACGAATTTTACAAATGTGATTTGAATATGATTGGTTGAATTTGATTTTTTTTCCTAGAGACAGAACCCATATATACAATTAAAAGGGTACATATTTAAATCGAATTTATTGTAATATCTTTCTGCGTCTACTTGATTCCTTGTAGAAAGCCTTGTTCAAAAAATTATTTGATCGGAAAATTGTGTAACATTTAAGAAAAATTTTAAAACCCCAGTATCAGCTTCAATTATTCCACCTATACGAAGAAATACCAGCAGTACAAGTGGCGCACACCTGTCATATCCCTGCAGTTTCCAGAACCAATCTGATGTTGCTTTTGGTATTTTTATTATATTTATTCAACACGTTAATGCTGCACTATATCAAGTAAGGCATCAATAATACATATTTGACAAATATAACAAGGCACATCGTAATAGCGGAACGATAGATAATAAACAATCTGAAAATGCAAGAGTCGACCAGCAGAAATATATTTCATTTAAGCAATTTCGAAGCCATCTTTCAATCTACAACTACTCTGTATAAAAATCTCTGCTGATATAGATCACTGTCATCATGCAGTTATGCATAGAAAATACAAACACGGGGACCATCCTACTAAGGCTCAAATGCTAGAGAATAGCTACATCCGATTCCGACTCGAGGACATTAGGAATGAACCGGATTGACGAAATTTTGACTCCAAACACATCTGGATTGTATTTTGGGCCACTGGAAAATTTCACTTTAAACTCACGTAAAAAAAACTTCTGTTCAGAAATGTACTCATTCGCATTCAAGTTATCTTTACCAGTTCAGTCCTAATGTCCGTGCTTGAGAAAAGCGAGTAATATAATAAACATTTGGCAGAAATGTAAAATGAAACTTGGCAAAAATAGGCAAAAAGAAACGCAGCAAGTAAAAATGTTATGGCGTCACTTATTTGATGATGCCATAGAAACAGAGGGAAAAAAGTAAATTACAATACCGTCATGATCTATATAAAGATTGTTGCAAATATTTTTCAATAAAGCTTTATGAGCAAATAGCATAAGCAACACCATCAGACGGAGTACAATTTAAAATTAATAGCTTTGGTCTTGCTAAAAAGCGAAAAACACCAGTATATATTTGTTTTAAAAATAGTGCAAAGTCTATTAAACAGAATATTTCAAAGCATGTTTTCATAAAATCAAAAAAAGATTGTAAAAAAGGTGATAGCAGTATGTCAAGGATTTTATCAACAACATTTGAGATGCGATATCATTACATGTCATGATGTCATCATGTGACGTCATAAACACTATTTTATTCGTTGACGTCATATTCCTTTCATGCTATTTTTACTATAGTTTCATGTTCCCTGAAGTGCAGTGTGAACTTCATCAAGGTAAGCGGATTGTTTTTGGCATATTTCAAACTGTGATGCATAGCTCTATTGACTGACAGACCGCAAAATCGCGTAAAATATACAAGTCATCTGTTAAGGATGTCATACTTCAGTTAGTGTTACTTTGTAAGTTGTGGTGTTATCCTGATGTTCACTTCGAATATCAATAACAAAGGTATCCTCATTGCTGTAGTGTCTAATTATGTTGTCATCCATTCGCACTAAAATTCTGCAAAAATGAAATAGATACTTTAGCATTTTTTAATATACAACATGAAGAACAAATAGTTGATACAGATACACACTGAGTAAATAAATTCACAAGTGAGGTAAATTATTTAAGTTATGCGAAATTTTTATATTAGAACACCTACGTAGTATGCTTCCTAATATCCTAACTAATTACTGTTAAATTCCGGTTCAAAGTATGCTGTCGCACAATGTATTTGATAATTAAAAAAGACGAATCGCAATTTGAAATATTGAACAAACACAATCAAAAGTGATAAAACAGCAACAGCAGTGCCCCAAACAACATAAAAAACATAGTTTTATGATGTCTCAAGTGTTGATACCGCCTTATCAATTTTGACTAAGTCCACAACCGGTAAAAAAATGATATAAATTTTGACAAAATTTCTTTCAAAAATATTGCATGTGCTTTTTACCAGTTCTGCAGATAATTGCAATTAAATTTCAAGTTCATCGTTTTGTACAGTTGTACAGGACTATTTGCATATTCTTATCGTACGCAAAATATGGTACTTTTGTAGTGTGTGTACCAAGTTAGAGGTTAGAGTTGAGCCATGATTTTATTCCGATTATTCCTATTTTAGTTCTGTTACGAGTTCAGGGGATGTCTGTGTTGGCCAAGTGGATATACCCCCTGCCCATAGATTTTAGTACGTTTACACAACTTCATGTTAAGTGAGCAAACAAAATTATAAGTGAAAATACAACGAGATTAAACTTACCCTTTCTTTGATTTCTTGAAAACTTTTGTTATACTTTCAGCAGCGCAGTTATATTTTTCTTGGACCTGATAGAAAGAAATTATCATGATTATTTAGGGATCATTAGTTTAAAAAATATATGAAAATATAAAGTAAAGCACACTTGATTTTGGTATTAGATATCAACTATTTGCTTTAACAGCGCAAGATTTTGATCATTATTGGTTTGATATATATATAATAAGGAACATAACATTGGTTCATCTATGCCTGACATGGACAAACTACGGCTCTCGGGCTAATCCGGCACGTAGGGTGATTCAATCTGGCCCTACAATAGGTTCGTTAGATTATGATCTTAGTCTGCGAGGAATATTTGTGAGACATTTTTCTATTTTCACTTTCCCACATTTAATTCGCGTAGACGGAGATTTTTAAAGCTCAGATGTAATCGCAACATGTCATCTATACAGTATAATGATTTCTTCAGTCTGGATGTTTTTTGTTTAGTACAATAGGCTTGTGGTAAAACAATGTTATTGTTTGTTATCATGTGTCGGTTCTCAGAGATTATTAATCACTCTCAATACTTGTTCTCTGATAATTTTGCGGATATTAAACACAATAGTCGTGATTGAATTATACCAAAAGGAACGAAAACTGCAACTTAAGTAGGATTAAGAATATGGTATCACAGGTCAATCAGTCACAATTCCATGCAACATGTCTTTGACTTTCGACATCGTGGTTTAAATGTACCGTTTGTTTTTACAACGTTGCAATGTATAACAATATTGTAATGTAATAGATGTGTATAATTTCAAAATAAATTCTCAGAGTCATTTGAAGCAAGGTGACCGATGACATATTGAAACTTCTTTTATTGTTGTTTATGTTTTACATCGTAAGTCTTTGAATCACTTTTTCATGTGCCAGTCAAACGTTAGATGTAACTTAATCTGGGTCAGATGACAGAGAGGTTGGACTGAACAATAGCTGAATATTTGCTTATTTGAGATCTCCAACATGTCGCAATGATTGGCCACATATGCTAACATGTTGGGTACCAGATTATGTGTAGTCCTCTTGACCGGTGACCATCGAAATGCCAAACTTGTTGTACCAGCTACCAGCACACTTCGGACAAAATGTACAATACTGGGAGATCAAATCATTTATTCTTATTCAATGGTAATATATGGGCTGTGGTATTTTTATTCCTTCTACACCATCCGCATCCACTAGCGCGAAGGTATTGAGGAAGGATTGAGAGTTAGTCTCGCGCAAACTCTACTGATAGTTAATATATATATATTCAAATTATTGACAACACAGCATAGATAGTCTATTGTTGTGATAAGTTATTGCATGTAAATTCCACTTTATTGGGGGAATGACCTAGACGTTCTGGTACATTTTGAAAAATTTAATGCTTTTTATATCATAACTACACAAATCATATGGTCAACCCAGTAAATAATATTAGTTGTGACCAGTCTCGTCATTTAATTACAATTTAGAACAGGGGTTCTCGAACTTTTTGAAAGTGGCGCACCCTTTTCAGAATTTGTCAAGTCTCGCGCCCACCTCAAAGTTTTATTCAAAAAACACCTTGAAAATACGTGGATATATTTCGCAATTAAGGCGGTCAAAATCGAATCTAACAATTTTTTTTTCTAATTAGCTTCACGCCCTCTACAAATTTTCTTCGCCCCCATGTGGGGGCGCGCCTCGCCGTTTGAGAACCACTGAATTAGAAGGTAATAACAAGATTCTTACCGCTAATTTGAGACCGTTAAGGTCTGGTGATTGGAGCATAAGGCCGTCGTAAACTTCTTCATTGATTTGACGAACGTATAATAAAACTCTTTGTGACGCTTCAGAATCGGAACGAGATATCTGAGAATAAAGAGAAGATTACTTTAATAGTATAAGTGTTATTCTAACTAACCAAAGTATAAGTCAATAAATCTTTTTGGTGTAAATCTGCTAATCCTTTTGACTACTTATTGTTCAAAATCAAAGATTTATATAAATTGTCTCAGAGCTTATAAACTCATGAAATAGTAAAATCATATTTGATGGAAATAGGAGATTCAAATAGCAAATAAAGCGAGGATGTTATATTCCAATATTTATATATATACATTTTCAAGCTAAAAAGACTTAGTGTGAAGCCATTAAAAACAAATTGCTCATAGCTGAGTTATGCGCACTCATTCAGAGCAATGAAAGCTGATCTAAGCGCGGACTCGCGTACAGCCCCCAAGGTGTCAGAGTTACTGACATTGCAAAGAAGTATAATTTCGCGACAGTGGATAATGAATGGCACCAGAAGGGAAGAAAACCAGGTCAGTAAAATCAGTTAAACGACAATGAGGTAATGAATTCTTTATAGCTAAAGTTATGCAAGTTCTAGCAAAGTCATAATTCTCAGGACAATGAAACAACTGTTGCCGGCCTGTTGAATATTGTTTCACTTTTATCACAACTAATCTCCATCTGCGACGTACGGGCCGTATCTATAGACTTTCCACAAAAATGCGATGGATTGATATAATACGCCATCACAAATAAACAAACCAAATTGTAACTAGCAGTTCAAAGCTTAATTGCCAAATAACGTGCTATTCAATATTTTCATGTTATAGGTGGATGGGAAGAAAATTGACCACCAGATTCTTTAATCTGTGACTTCAAGTTATTTATCACGTCTAGTAAGGGCTAACATTAATTTAATTACGTTTCATTCATTATATAAAAAGAATAAGAAGAAGTGAGCATAGGCGCACAAACTTAAAATTAAAGGAGACTAATGAATTTGCGAACTTATGGGCTAATAATGCTAATCTGAGAGATGAATGTGGAAATAAAACAACGATGTATATTTACCTTGCATGGAGGAGCTCTTTCGGTTTCACTGTGCGCTCGTTTCAAACCTCTTTCCATTGAATCGCCCTGTGAATTAAAATTAATATAGATTAAATCGTCTATGGGTTACAAATCTTATAAATCGTTGAGCGTTAATTTTTCTGTTACATGACCACGCCCTGTGCCCACGAAAATTTTCTAATGGCGAAAGGGCAATATAATCCATCTCAATTTATTATTAGTAAATTAATATTAAAAGTGAAGATTATAATATAAGTAATATTAGAAGTAAAAAATTGCAATAAAATAACTGCAATAATCATATGAAGTGGATCCATATTAAAACTTGTGTTTACAAAAGCCGGGATTTCCTATACAAGAAAGAAAGTTTATCCAGCAAAATAGCAACTCACCGTGGTTGTAAAGTAAGTCTGTTCAGTCTCCGATGCGGAAGTTTGTTGCACAACATGAGGTGACATTACGGGAGAAGTACAAGGTGAAATTGAGGGAGTGCAAACACTCAAAGGATGTGAAACAACACTGTGACCTGAGAGGAAGAAAAATAATTAGCATTATGCACGATTGTCATCTTCCTAAATAAATTTTCTTGAAGCAAGGCCAAGTCTCCTACTAAATGTGCTAAGAGCTAGTACGCAATCGCAACGCAACGCAAGGGTATATAAAGGTTTATTCTAGCGATAGAATGACAATGGATAGCGGATGACAGATTTTTGATTAGAGTCAGCCGTTTTAGGAAACTAGTTTGGTAGAACAGAATTCGATAAAGTGGATGTTTTTGAAGTAATCGCTTCTATAAAAATGAAAGTTGATGGCTAATTTATTGAAACTACCAGTACGTTCAGTTCAACTCGCGTTTTTAAAAAACTTATTCAAAATTCTTGTAGTTAATGTAGAATAAATAGTTTGTAATAAGTTATAACAATGGGCAAACTAAACGCTTAGCTACTGCATAAACTGGGGAATGGGGGTAAAGGGTGTGTCAGTCATTCATTTCAAGTGAAAGCGAGCTTTAAAAAAATTGAACGATTCTAACCTGGAACATCTGGAACAAATAATACAGGACGAGATTCAACATCATCAACTGTTTTGAAAATGACGAAATCGGTTCGTTTTTGTTGAGGTTGTCCACTCGTTGATGACGTGTTCGATGACGTCACAATCTGTTTCAAATCTGACGCTGCTATTGTCATCATACTGTTTGCTGAATTTGATGATCCTGAAAATTTAGATTTATTAAATTTAAACTTGAAATTTGAAAGGGTTTTATTATATTCTTAATCATGAAAAGCTGACAAGATAGAAAAAAAGGCAAACCACCATGTCTGAATAAAAGTCGTGAAACACCATAACGATTGGAATTAGACTAATTTACTATCATGTATCGTAACAGATGCCATCACATCAATAATATTTACCTTGTTTTGAAGCTTTTTGTCCTCTTTTAGTTGCTTTTCTTTCCTCATCTCTTATTTTTCGTTCAGCGCCCTGTGAAATGAATAAAGGTTATATATGAATATATATTCCGACTTAAGTTTGGTCAGCTATCAAAAGCTTTCAAACTGAATGGTTAGAGGACAAATGATTTTTAATATGTTTTACAATTTCTCATTGAATGGTGAATTGAAAAGATACTGTACAAGAAGATACTGCCATGTTAAAATCTTATTTGAGATGGAATCTAACAGATTCAGATATTTTCGTTTTTTATAAGCTCTGTGTTTAATTGTGAATGGTATTGGGAACTACATAGTTGTCACTTAAAACATGTTAGAAATAATATAGTGAAGTAAATACTAAAGTAAACAATGAAAAATTTGAAAACTTTTTAAATTTCTATTCGGAAACGCTTCATCAGATCAATACCTTAATTAACTTCAATGTCTTATATTGAAGAACACATAATTAGCATGATGAAGTAATCATTCGATCTGTTAAGAATTCATTTGGTATCATTTTGATGTAATTAGCTGACTACAATAGGTTGATTATTATGTTGAATCGTTTTGTTTAGTGTTTGCAAAATGATATTGATAATCCACTGCACGCCTCGCGAGAATGTGTTTGGCCAATAAACAATTCTGTAGATAACATTTATGAAAATCGTGTGTACACGTTAGTTTTGGTCAAAGCGGTATGTCAAATACTGTGGCTAAGACTGTACGACACGACTTGAACCTTAATTTCTCCGAAAATTTGTATCGGTTAGCGTCATGCAGAAAACCATATGTTTTAAACGTAATATGCATCTGATTGTAAAGATTCCTTGGTAATAATATCTTTGCCTAAATAGTTTATATATATTTAGTATTATGATTTGCACACGTAGGCTTTGATAGGCTTTGGCGTTATGTCGAATACCGTGGCTCGGACTGTACGACACAACTTGAACCTCGATTTATCCGGAAATTTGTATCGGTTAGCGTCATGCAGAAAACCACATGTTTAAAATATAATATGCATCTGATTAAACCAATTCTTTGTTATTATATTGTTTACCTAAATATTTTTTATATATATTATTGTTTAGTAATATGATTTGCAGCAGAAACTGCATAATGTAAGTATTTAAATATCTAAAGAAAAAAGTTTAGTCTGGCAGAAAAAAAGAGAAATAAAAGTGAATTGAAGGTTTGCTGTAATATTACTCACCAAAGTGGAATTTTACAATATTTTGTGGCAAAGCTTACACCATGCCTTCTTTAATAAATAAAAATACATTGAATCAGTTTAATTTTCTACCGAAAAAATTGGAAAATATCTTTTCATTAAATTCAGAGCCATTCTGCTACTTTACAAATATTCTCTTTGCAAAGCTTGATTAGAACAGCTGACTACTAAAATTTAGAATTACTGTGATAATTTTATTTCAGCACAGCAACACCACTCTTTTACACCCCAAGTCAGGTAGTAACGACCTTCACCCAATTGCAAATTGCAGAAATAATTAAGGGGGACCCAAATAAAATGAACTCATTTTCTACGAAAATGAAGAAAATGTATTTAACATTTCAACCTCAGTTCGTTCATGATTGTACCCATAAGTTTCAGTGATCTAGGATGCTTTGCCCAAAATTTATATTCTCTCTAGAATATGTTCCAAATTAACAGGATTCTTTTTTTTTAGTTACTTTGTAGAAATATCATCAAAAGTCGCTACCTCATAAGACATTGCTCAGATTTAATGTCATACAACCATAAGATCGTTGAAGAAATTCCACTTCAACGAGATCAGATAAGAACAACATTTGAGACAAAATCGGCTACTATTGACGTGAATAGCATTAATGGATTGTGCTGATATAGAAAATACTACATTAATTGATTATGGTTTTTCGATGCGTTAACGAATGTGTTGTGAATTTTGAACCAATAAAGCTTTTAAGTGCGTATGGTTTATTAGCTTATACCGCCGCTATCATTTTGAAGTGAAATCTGCGTAAATGATGACACGCAAACGATTTATATTATCTTTCCTACCAGTTGTGCACATAATGCTATAAACAAGATGAAAGACAACTACTGGCAGAGTCAAAATTAGTAAAACGATGAAATCATAATGGTTATTTTTTGTCGTTCTCAAAATTCAAATAGGTTTTGGATGAAATAATGTGTTCAGAATTATCTGCCTGTTCCCCTACAGGGGCTAGAAGCAATGTTGGAATCGCAGGTCAAAAAGGTTGAAAGCAAATACCCACAAAATCAAAGCGTATTCGGTTGGGTAAGCAAAGTAAGTCATGCCAGATTTGCCCACAAAATATTCTAGCTTAATTAATACAAATTATGCTTTTGCTAATCTTTTGTATTGTTGGTAAAAATGTGTGATACAAAGTAGAGGATAATAAGCCAACGTTCATAAGCCGTACATACCTTATCACAGAAAACTTTAATCTGACATTGCCCGCGATGCACTAGAAGATCTTGTCCTTCCAGGTACGTATCGATTTGGATAAGTAAGGGTAAGCCCTGGTAATAAAAAACAAGAAATGTTTAGATTATACACTCAACAAACAGGTTTATAATATTCCCAACTACTTTTAAATCTCCCTCCTATACGAAATTGTAGGTTGAAACACCATGAAACACTGAATGTTAAATAAGTACTTGCTCACCGATGCCAAGAAAATAATTTGGTCCGAAATCTAAAGACTGAATACCGACACAATTTTTAAATAATTTTTTTGATAGGATCTATAATGCTGTTTGTAATCTGTAATGGTATTTAATTTTTTGTTTTATTGGGATTGGAATGAGAAAAGATGCCAAAACCGTTGTTCAGTTTGTTTTATCAATGACGACAAATAATTTTTATTACAATTCTTCATTACAATTACGATGTAGTTTGTCTGTTACATTATCTCCTTTACTTGTGAATTTGAAATTACCAACCCACCTTGATTCCTTTCTGTGCGCTGAAATCTGTACTTAAGCAATTACAACTGATGAATATTTTAGCAGGCTCATTTATGTTCCACGAAAAACTGATTGCGTTATGAGCGTTTTCTTCGATATCATATATCATATTACTTTCTTTATAATCAGCTGGAATGAAGAAGAAAATTGTTAAAAAGAACTTGCTATCATGGTTTAAAAAACAAAATTTTCGATGTTAATTTCCCATAAATGTAATTCTATACGTTTAAAATACTTTGAAGATATACTGTATTGATTTTTATCGAGAGAAAAAGATATCTTTCCTGTATTTTGTAACATGAAACCTGAACAGAAATAGTACGACTGATCACGTGCGCTTGAACTCGCTAGTTTGAGTATCAAAAGCTTCGATATGGAATGTCTGTGGTCAAAGTAGCAGTTAATGAAGCAGTGCTTTAAAAAATTAAAATTTAAGGCTACTATATTAAAATTTCGGAATATTTCCTCTAGGCGGTGAACAATTAAAATGGATGTGGGAGATTCTAGGTTTATTGCCCAATCGCAGATTGTGGTTTATTTTTTTATTATTTCAACTAACTTTGTAAATAACAAAGTCAAAATTGTTCAATTCATTCGGATGCGTTTAAATTTTGATTTTTAATGTATTATTTTAAATGCGTTTAAATTTACATTTTCGACTTCGAAAAAATAAAAAGCTTTCATTACGTAAAAAATAAAATGGAGATTGCTTATATACGAAAACATTAATGTATTCACGTCGCCATTTTCTCAAATATAATTTAAAAAAATGCTTATTCATGCGGTTTGACATTAAAACACAAACCGTGGATGGATTAGCTAATTTTGGATTTTATTGTTTATTACACGATGACGACCGTAGCCGGCTTTACACTACTTTTACAAAGACATTAAGATCGTAATCGCGTGCTTGGGCTGTGACTCATTAGTTGTGGGCAGGTTATGCCGCAGTAAAGTAATAAATTAGTTAGCAGCATAGATATGGTAGGCATAAATTTTCTTATTTATCTCGAGAAGAGGAAAGTTGATGAAACGGCGTTCCAGAGGTGAGTGTACCAATATGGAGGTAACTAATTATGTTCCGCTACTTTACATCAAGTTGTGTAAAGGGACTGAAACCTATGGGCAGGGGTATGTATATTCACTTGCCTAACACAACAGTCCCCGAACACATTACAGTACTAAATTAAGGCAAATCGGAATGAAATATGGCCTAAACCTAACCTGGTAAACTAACTACGAGAGTACCGATAAAACAGCTTGATCATAAAGTGGACAACGACTTCTTTTACGAACACTAGTTGTTCCAGGTGTATGGACTAGAAAACTGACTTACTCAGGTCGAACTTCGAAAATATAATCTCAAAACGACCGGAAAATGGCGCATGGAGCTTTTGAATACCCCAATAATTGCATCAGACAGTTAATTAGATACATGAGAAGTGTACTGCTCATCAATAAAAAAGCCTTCACCGTGAACGATTTTTGGAAGCTCATTCAATCAGTGGGTGTATTTTTCAGTTATAAGTATATAAACAAATACTTCTTTAACACACCAATATCAATTATTCTTTGTTTCACAGTATGTTGTCTCGCATGCCAGTATTTCCAATGTCTGAGTTGCTCTTCTTCAGGCTTTCCATCACCAAATACAATGTGGACAACAGTCTGGATAATTAACAAGAGAGCTATGCTCAAATATATGGACACGTAGCCACATAAGGGAAAATTCGAATGATGTCATAGCACACAAAATAACGAATACCGTGCAGCTTACCGAAATATTTAAAATAAATAAAAGTAATGGCATGCAAGCAAAAAACTTATTCTTCAAGAACTGAAAATTTCAAACCAATTGGTTCAGCGATTTTTTTCTGTGACAAAGAACAACAAGAACAAGGAAAACAACAACATAATACTAAAACGATACATAGGTCCACTCACGTGTTCAATGAATACATAACAATGAGTTTCACATTGAGTTTATGGGGCTCTCCACATTATTTCCAAAAAATTTTAAAAAGAAAATTTTACCTTAACGCGGTTTGATTTGAATTTCCATTGCTTCTGGTCGTTCCGTAACGTTATACAGTAAAATTGACCTGTAAAAACAATTGCATTGTGAATTTTGAAAAAGTTTTCAAGATAGGGTTCTTCTTTAATCACGTTAGCGTGCATGTATTTTTTTAATTCTATGAAAATAAAGTATCAAAAGTAACAAATCGCGAGATAAGTATTTTTGTGTTTTTTTTTTAGGAAAATTTATTTTTCTTTAAACTAATAGTCAATCGATTCCACATTTTTGTTCAGGCCTTCGCTTTGAATTTTGTATTTATTAATAAAATCCCTCCCTTGCGACAATTTGATCTTTGCGTTCGTATATTTATGATGACAATGTTTTTTTTATATGTTTACCTTTGTTGATATACGACATAGTCGGATCTCCTTCCTTTTGCTTTAGACTTTTGGGTGCTTCCATGACATATTCAAATAGTTCTCTGTAGTTAAATGAAAATTCAGAGATTGAAATTTCAAATCGAACGAATGTAATGCGGGCAGAAATAATAGTATTGATACGAATAGCTTGATTCATAAAAAAAATTTACAAGCATTACGAGAAAAAAAGAGTAAAGTAGAAAGTGGCTGTAGAAATTCCAAAAACTATCAAATTTATATTGATGACATAAATGGCACATTCAATACATATGGCAAAAAATTTCAAGGAAAAAAACATTTGACACAAAATATTTTTTAGTGCACTCGCTATTTTTAGTTATTGCAGACGGTGGACAATGATAAAGAAGCGATAAAAAGACAGAATCTCAACCGTTAGTTAACATATGTTGACCAATCGCTTTTAGACAGTATGAAAAATGTCAGTCATATAGTCTAACTCTTATTCAAACATACCCAGAGTATTCTGTCTTTATATCAAATTGGCTTCTGTGCAAAACGTTAGCCGAATCCTGAAGTTTTACAGCATATGGAGATATTGTTGTAAAACTCGATGCGTTAAGGGTTCCAAAGGTGTTGTTTTTATTGTTGTTGTTGTTGTTGTTTTGGTTTAGATTGCTTATTGATGACGCCATTGATGTCAGGTAACCGCGTGATGTCATTTTTCCATCCATGTTTGAATATGTCTGATAAGAAAAAAATGAACAAGCATTGAAATTTTATGATTTATAAATCTTTAGAATAATTTACGCGTTAATCAATCTATAACTATGTATCAAACATACTCATATAAATAACACGCATATAAGACTCTTATTTAGAGTAACAATAACAGTATTTGGTTCGTTATAAGTTTCATAACTTATCGCACTCTAGTTAAGAAAGCGGCATGGATCCCAGACACTTTAATTCACTCACGTTCGATAAATCTTGTGGCGATTCTAACAAAGTTTCCTTCTTTATTTTACTTTGGTCAAGAGTTGTTGGTCGATGAAGTTTCAGAATATCAGCAACTGTTCCAAAAACCTGAAAAACAGCATATTTCAGTAACAAATAATTATCACAAAGTTGGGGTATTCATGAAAATTAACTAGAATATGAAATCGAAGAAAGTTATTAACTGAGAAAAAAGTATACTTCAAAAAATAACATTAGCTTGTATAAGGTGTATATAATTAGACTGCGTTCATTGCAATTGCACAAAATTTTAATTGGGAATATGGTTTAAACTAAGTATTATTAATTGTTTTTAGAAAAGTTCTGAATTAATTTTATTTTAATATAAGGAGCTAAAACATTAAACAAACGCCTGTAGATAAAGTGTTTAAATCATTCGATTGACGTGAAATGTTGACAGAGACATATTATTATCGCATTACAAGAATTTCAAATACCTGTGTGGTATTTATTGGTTCGTTCTTGACAGGTCGAAGAGCGATAACGTCGACTCCCATAGACGTCTTGAGCGTTGCTGCCGATGCTGATAAGATAGAAAAAATTTGATGGTTACATAGAATTAATATAACAATAGGTGATTTTGTTGGAATTGATGTTGAAAATAGAACACGTCATCAAATTTCCAATGAATCTTACTTCAAATCTGTAATGTAAACACATCGAGTATTATATTCAATAATTTGAAAATGATATTTTTTAATTATGAGCTGGGTGGCGCGAGGCTAACTTCCTATCCTTATTGTATGCCTTTATGATAGTGTACTGGTTCTCAACCAGTGCTGGACCATAGAGACATTTTTAGGTGGGCCACAAGCTTATTGAAAATTACTATAGTTATCGAAAAGTTTAGTTTGTGTCATTATAGTCAAATTTTCATTGTAGTAGCAATGAATAATGCTGTTGCTTTTTGTTTTTTTTATTATTAAAGTGAAAGTATTTATTTTTGCCTTTTGTTTATTTTTTCATATCGTATATTGGTTTTGCATGACGAAAATAAAATCTGAATCTGAATTAATTTTGCAAAAAAATCATGTTTTTCTTGTAGTTTTTCCCTTGCATGAGAAAGTTAGTGGGCCACAGATTTTATATGCAACGAAAGTGGGCCACGAAAAAAAAAAAAGGTTGAGAACCACTGTGCTAGTTGATCCGTATCCGTATAATGCAGGGTTGCTGTTGTAGCAAGAATAAACATTACCATACTATGAGATTCAAGAGTCCTGCTGCGAACACGAATTAATTACACTTACAATATCGAATTGCATAGCATTGTTTGCCTAAATCGGTTTTCCACACATGGGCCATGTTTAGTTTAACAAAAGATAAATTCGCATCGTACTAATTCAATGTGTTGTGATCATGAACATTTGACAGAGCATTGACTGTTAGAAGCCATTGGTTACTGTTTTTAAAATTGGATGTCAAAATTTGACCAACCAAAGACGAAGTTATCTCATTTTGTGATATCAATCCGGGTAAGACAGCTAATTGAAACCCATGTTCGTCCTACAATAGCAACTTTATGAATGCATCATAATTTCACGAGTTTATTGATATCTGAATATAAATGTTTATTAGTAATACCTGTTTGTGTTGTTCCCAAATTGATAGGAGTTGATGAAACATTTCTTTGTGGAAGTATTGCCCTGTAACATACGTGTAGTTTAGTGAAAATGATTCATAAAATGTAGCAAACACGAGGTAGCGATCACTATAATTTTACACAGTGGTATTCTCAGAATAAATGGTAGCATGGTATTTAAGATAACATAAGGACTTTTGTTTGTCCCCGAGAGAGGAAAATCGATGAGACGACTTGAAATATGATGAACCATTTCTCTTTGTCTGGCATGGAGAAATAGAGAATATAGAGTAATAAAGAGGTAGTAAAATTAGTAGTGTACAATAATAATTGGCCCGTTTATATTCAAAAGTATTTCTCAAATTAAAGTCTTGTTAACTTACTAAAATATTTCATATTGGTTCTATATTACTATATTACCTAAACAAACTACTATAAATACATCGATACCGCGCATTACAACTTAAACCTATTTGATCTCGTCATTCCTGATGAAGTCTGCAAACACAGACTGGTACCGGTTAAGCGTCTGGTGCGCGGTGTGTTTATATAACATAGTTGACCAGTGAAGTATTTTTGTGCACAAATATTTGAAGTATTTAGCCTCGAGGTAAAAGGACAATATTTATTGTACTACTTAAATGAAAGTTAATTGTGTAATTCTGTTTCTGGTTACCACACTGAAAACTTATCTGCGGGACTCATTTAGAAAATATATAAGTTTTAAATTATATTGATTGGAGGTAATGTGTATGTACATCCTGTTGTATAAAATTGGAAACAAAATCTGCGCTAATCCAAACAATTAAGCGATTGACAATATGTTAATAGATATTCACATTGTTTAATTTTGGTCTAAGTGTTCAGCATTGCACGAAATTGGGAGTAAATTCTGGTGTTTTTGTGTCGCTGAGCATTTGTGTCATTGCAAATAATTTCAGTTTACAAAGCATACATCGAGATAACAAAAAAATTTGCAACAACGAATGATATACAGCAGCGCATTGCTTTTTGCAAATTTACCATGCCAAATATAAATGGGTAGTATTAGTAATATTATATTTTGCACATTCTTCATTGCTGGATTTTGAAACGACCGCCCAAGTTAGCACATACTTGTTAAAAATAATATTTATGTACATACACTATTAATCTTCTCAAATCCTAAATAGTTTGGGATTCGTGACTCATGGTACATGTTCCGGTTACGTGCAAATATGAAACTAGTCCTTCTAATCCTAAAGTAAGCGCAGCGAGATTTTTTGGGCAACTAAAATTACTAATAACAATTTCAACACGGTTAAGAAATTAAATAAATGAAGCAAGATGTCTTATGCATTCACACCGACAGAAATCTATGTTTGATTTTGCTTCCAGAACAAATTCTATGAAAATATCATCATGTAGCTCATAATCTAAATAAGACCTAGACAAACAAAAACTTTGGTGGACAATGTGGATTTTATTTTAAGGATTATCAGTAATCAGTTATCTGTGGTTTATTTTCAAAACATGCTGAAAACTTTTTTTGTTGTCGAATATTCAAGTTTTATTTACTTTTGTTGTTTGCAACTTTGGCTAAGCAATGAAAATTACAATTACATAGATTGAATTGTTGCGTAAAGATTATATCTATGTTAAAAATCATGGGGAAAATGATTATTGTTTTTCGATGGATATGAGACAAGATTTATGTAACAAACGTTATGTCAGCAGTATTTGAAAGAACATTAAAAGTTAAAGTAATGAATGAAATTCGTTATCACTTAAACTGGGCAAAAATCGACATGAAAAGTTGTTAAACAGGGTTTAACTTGATATCAGGAACAGTAGTTGTTTAATTTTGATTCGACACGCCATCAAGTGATTAAACAATTGTGGCTTTTTAGGGATTATCAAGAATCTACAATTTCATGGTATTCACATGTTGACATTTTGATAGGTTTAATTTATTGCACTAGGGCAATTGAATTTCTACGAAAGGTTTACGAAAGTGTCATACCATATATGGCATAAACGATTACAATATCGTTAGATCAGATCAATGTTGTGAATCATTTCTACACGGGGAGCTAGTACAACTTGGTATATTACTCATTTGGCATATAAATCCACATTGCTTTACTTTCGTTGGTATCATTCACTGAAACAATGCTATAATTGATCATCCCTATCAATACAATGATTACTTGTGTGAAAACATGAAACTAGTGATAATTTGAGGTCAAATAATAGGTGAACAATAGGTTAAATTTTATAAGATTTAGGCTCTATAGTAATTTTAATCGTAGTGTTTTAATAATTTTAATACTCTCAATTCCTATATTTTGACGCTATCACACTAACATTGTACAAATTCTGATACAAATATTGTGCAATGGAAACCGAAAATTTGCGTTTTCAATGACTAAGAAAAATACATTCGAATTTGCCACAATCTGGTTTAAATGATGCATAGCTGGATTTTGAAACCTTAATTCTGGATGAAAAACGATGCAAAATATGACTGAATAGAGTTTTGAATCATTATTCAAATTTCAAATTTCCAGTTTATACATTCATACCGAACTTGATATTTACCTTGTTGTAACTTTATCGTTTACATTTGCTGGATAACTCAGAAGCCTTTTCTCTCTTGGAACCTTCAAAAATAAATCAAAGAAAATCTGATAAATGGTGTTGTAACAAAGTGTTATGGTAAAAACTGTAGCACATTCAATATTCTTCTTTGCACTCCAATCCACTAATTTATTATTTCCCGAATTAATCAAACAACTACTCTAAATTGGATCAATCTTACAACAATACAAAATTATATATAAAACCATTCCGCACCTAAACAGAAACATAGAAGGTAATAATAGTTCTTGGAATTTTCATTAAGAACGAAACACCAATAGTCAATTTTTTCTACTACAATGTACACCTTTTCCCACCTTATAATAATCGTAAAGCAATCCTAAAGCTGCAGCTGAATCTTCGTCTCCGTGAATGGACATCATTGCAGTTGTTGCGGCCGTGAGAGGATTTTCTAGGTATGATCTCCAAGCTTCTTCTTCTGCAGTGGTAGGAGTCGAAATTCTTGGTTTCGTTTCCGGATTCGATGTTGTGACGATTTCTTGTTGCTTTTCTTCGCTGAAAGTAAAGTTTACTGAGTAAATACTGGTGCAAAAAACTTGCAAAATTACCATCGCGTAGTGGGCACTCATTTTACATTTTATTTAAATACAACCATGAGATGGCGCTATATCATCTCAATTTGATGGTCGATTTGGCTATCCTTTTTTGACGTTTTTTTTTCAACATTGACAACGAGCGACGTCGGAACCAATAAAATTGAAGTGCATTGCAATGCGAGATACAGATCTACTATTCAGTAATTATTCGCTATTCTATATTACCTAGCACATAAACTGTAATGGCGTTGAAATATATTACTTTTACATACTCAACTAATTTTACGTAACGCAATTCAAATGACATACGCGTATGTGACAGTATAGCCCGAAATCGAAACACAAGTCTATATTGTTGACATACGCCAGATATTTGACCAAAAACTTAAAACGATAAGTTACAGAACTTGATGTATGTTTCTACTGGGCAACACGGCTCGTGTAACCTATCTTTATCTTAAATATGTGGCCTTAGTGATTCCTTGGTCCCATACACTGACCTCTTTTACATATATTTTTGGTGGCAATACAATACATAGATCAAACAATACAAAAATACCCACCCCGATATGAATTAACAGGGGAAGCTTTGTATAGCGCATTATTACATTAATTTTTACATATGCATATTTTCGATCAATTTCTTTTTGCTTTTAATTTAGGGCGCAAACGGAATTTTGCGCTGTGCAAAACGGCTTGTAAAAGCAGTTTGTAAAATACGTGAATTCACATTTTACTTCACTAAACTGTCACGATTTGTCCAAAAATGCAAAAGAGTTGAATTAATTTTCAATACGTTAAGTGTTTTGTTTTTGCAAATTTTGAAAACAGCTGGAAATTGAGTGCTGTTCAAAATTTTGTCAGTTTCGTAAATGTGTTTTGTACTTGAAGGTAAGATTTTATCGGCGTAACCACCTTACAAGGCGTTTCTCAACCGACATGGTGATTATATAGAGACTAAGGCATGTGCAACCTATCATTAAGCTATTTTCGGTCGTTTCAACTTGGGATAGTAGATGAATAAAGAAGTGCTATGAAGTAAATGATCACTCATGAAGGATGAAAACTTTGGATAAACAATAATTTAAACGAAATAATTATATATTCCAACTGAGCTAATACTTGTTGGCTAAAACAAGAGGATTTCTTCTGAAATAATTACGAAATATACATGTGCGACATGAGTGGACATAAAAGGACTACCGTTTGATTCGTTATGTAACTTTTCTCAAAATACTTACATAATTTACTGCGACAAATAACCAATTGCAAAAAAAAATTACATAGCGATGTATCAATGCTACAAACATAGGAGGGGGTGACAGTGGACATAAATACGTTAATTTAACATTGTTAGGGAAACGTTTTGATGTAAGGCAATTCCATAAAACGGTTTTAGATAAAAAAAAATATTGTCATTCACGGACATGTTTGATAAGCTGGAATCATTTATATATGTAGATAAACTTTATATCATAAATATGTGGAAGTTAGAATGTCACCTAAATTTTCCATTTATGTACAAGTGTTTTATATATAAACAATCCATATAAACAATACAAGAAATATCGTCAATGACAAGCAAGGGTGTTCTATTTCTTGTTAAACACTGCGCTGTTTTAAACAGATTAGAATATTTTACAAGACAAGAGTTATCGATAAGAAAAAACTTCATGACATAATTTAACCTAGGGTTAGCACAGCCTGGTACATATGGCCTCTGAGTCATGACCCTATAACCACTCAGTTGGTTTATTTATTGGCCAAAATAATACATAAAATACAAGAGGTAACGTTGTTTAGAATTCATTTTTTAAGGTCATATACGAATATTAGAGGAAATTGCTCAACCGGATGCTCAAGGCTAGTATTTAAGATTAGCATCTACAGATAACAAAATGCAAGAAACATTTCTCTGCAATTGTAACCAATTGTGACCATTTTCAGATCCACTAAACTTAACTAAATATAGTTCACCCGCCGAATTTATTCCGACTATAGGGTAATTTACATACAATATTGGCTGAAGATTAAACTATCATAGCCTTAACTAGGGGCAACTTTCCAAACGCACTTTGCATATTTCATATTTGAGAAATTCCACTTACGTGGAAAATGGTTTTAGTATAAAGAAAATCAATTTTTAGCTTGAAATAAATTTCTCAAAGTGCTAATATTAGGTATATGCTGCGGAATAGGTACCCCCGTAGTGTGTGTACCGAGTTAGGGTTAGACCATAATTTCATTCCAATTTCTTTATTTCAATTCTATTACGAGTTCGGGGACAGTCTGAGTTTGTCAATTAAATATACGCCTTGCCTATAGGTTTCAATCCCTTTACACAACTTGATGTAAAGTAGGCGAACAAAATTAGTTACCTCCATATTAGTACACACACTTCTGGAGCGTCGCTGAATGTGTACAAAATGTGGATAGATCAATATTCATTTATCAAACCGCCATGCCAAAATAATCGTGTAAACCTTAAATTTTGGGCTATTTCAAGTCTAGTTTAAGTTTTGTGAAAGGAACTGTTCTGAAGTTATTTTGTTTGATGTTTTATTTCGCGACATTTAGTACAGTATATTGATGCATTTTGTAGTAGTTAAATTCCCAAGCACTGCGTATAAAATGACAGTTTTCGTTTCAGATTACATCAATTATTGAAGATAATATACTCAAATTGAAATGAATGCTCGATGATAACAATTTGCAGCAAATTTAACACCCGACGCATGATTCATATAAGCCAATCTCTCTGAATATAATCTCTTTGTATTGATGCAATGTGTGTTTTACGTGGATTGAATTTCCCGGTTAAACTACATGAGTCATTGGGCATTTAAAGGCATTTAAACTGTAAATATAAACTTTTATCATCGATAAAACTCAATGAGTGACTGTTGTGGTATCAAAGCACGAATAGGAAAATGGAATACGCAAAAATCGTTCGGATAAAGTTTGCAAAATCATATTGAGTAAAATTGTATTTTAAGGCGCCGGTGGGCTCCTGCAATTTTTCAATTTGTCCTCTTTTTACTCTTAGCAAAATTCGCTTTGAGCAAAATGAATAAAAAGTAGTTAGTCTTGCACAACGTCCATCAAATTTAAATTTTTTTTATTTTAATTTTTACAGTCTCTCACACGTTTAATTTTCTAACATGCATTCAAAAAAGTATTGATTTAATTAAGAAGTCATTTGAGTACGATCTGATCATATTGCCAACACACAAACCTGTTTACCTGTTTACGCTAATCTCCATCTCTTGCGTATCAGAAATTTCGGAAAATTTTTTTAATGAAAGACGTCTAAAGGATAAATCACTTCCAGATAAAATTGTTTGCACTAAACATGAACACGCATTTCACGGTGTTAATTCGGTGAATTCATAATTTATTTGATAAAAAAAATCTAGAATATCGTGACAACAAACATTATTACCGAAAACATGCAGTAAATGACTCGATTCATAAATTTGAAAATTAATATTTATAGTAAGAGTATTTGGAATGTGTAATCCCACATCTTCTTTCGCATTGAGTTGTTGATTGAGCCATTCTCGAGTCCAAATAAACTCCGATCTCAAGTAAATAGGAATTTCACTAAGAAATTTTTCAGTTTTATTGGCAATTTTGAATACAAAATGAATCAGGTAACTGAGTCCAATACGGTCCCGAAGTTAGAAAATTAAAAATATGACTCCGGTTTCGACTCCGGTACCAGTAAATATGCAACGTTCGACCCCTGATTCCACAGTTAACGCTCAGGTTGACAAAGGGTTAATTCAAACCTAATCCACAGTTACAAAAGTGAGCAGGTTTACAGAACAAGAAGATCGTGCAGCCAAATGCGTGATAAGATCTATCGCCGCAGACAATTTGTATCAGACTGTTTAGAAATCAAATAAACATGTCAATTTTTAGAGACACATAACTACTGATTGAAAACGAGACATGTTCAGCGCAAAGTTTTTTTTTAGAAAAAAAGAGTTCGGATTAAGAAATAATGCTGTGGTTTACAAATAATGACAATATGGAAAAAAAGGGACACTGTATCAATTGTATTTTTATTTTAATACTCTATGCTATCAAATGCATATTACACTGAATTGTAAATTCCGTGTTTACTTCCGCAGGAATGACTAATCAGCAAGCGCTTGACCGCGATGCAACATCTACGTACTTATTTACCTAGACTAAATTGCAATTAAAATTTCATTAAATTAAATTTGGTTTAAAATTAAGACTTTTGTCATAGATTGATAGTGAAAAAATTTATCTTTCATTTCAAGATTGGAATAGTGTCAATGTAGTAGGGGATACGTTAGTTTATATATTTTACAAAAAAGCGAATATAATATGACAAGATTAACACTGATCATAGTAACGTATACCTAACTACGTCTGAACTACTTATTCCTTGTACTGTTATGCTAGGGGATTTGATTCACTGGGTGCATCATAAAATCATAAGATTCAATTTTTTCATTTAATGCTAAAAGATGTGCAATAAAAACATTCCTTTGAATCTGGGAATTCCTATTGTATGAATATTTTTTTTAATTTTATATTATAATTATTTTATTGAATGATGTCGGCAAGATATTAATGTTTACCCAAATAATATAAACTAAGTCCTATCACCGGTTGCCGAGGGCAATGACAATACGAACATGACAAGTATACAAATACAGAAAATTGATAAAATAATATACTGAAATAATAATAGTCCTTATTAACCAGAACGATGTAACACGCACTGAGGTAATTTCTTAATAGGGCTAATTATGTATATAATTCCGCCGGCCTATAGAAGAAATATTTAGGCCGCGCTGGTTCATTTAGCGAGATCGATATGTTTTTAGTGATTACCACCTATCTTCGACCAAATTTATTTTCATTAAAAACACTAAAATAACGTAAAATATTAACAAATATTTTCATTTCCTGAAACAACATAACTAATCAATAAAGTAGTGTAACCATTTCTGGCACGGAGTACTATCTATACTTTAAATATTATAACCTAAAATCTAATTTATAACAAACTGTTTATTCGTGAAAACTCAGTCTTGACCCAAAATTTTCTAATTTTACGCAAATTTAGTGCCACATATACTTGCGTACAACAAGAACATGTTACTTAATTATCAAATCACATCCTCATCCTATTTATTCATATACCATCTACCTAAATGACTGCCCCAAATATCACTTTAGGTCCAACACTTATTTAAAAATCATCTACTCACATATTGCAATAAAATGCTCCCTATACCTGTCTAAAAACTAAAAAAAAGTCTTACCTTGATTTGACAAAAACTCTAGACTGTGCGCGTCTTTCTGCATTTTGTGCAAAAGTAATATTTCTTGATGCTGAGGAATAATCATAAGGTTTGTTGGTATTAGCTTCTTGTTGGTATTTCGCATATTGTTGTGAAGCAATATTATAAACTTGTTGAGGCCTTTGGGGGCTTTGCATGTCATTTGAGGAAAAATTACTCCCTGTTCGTGATAGTGTATAGCGATGCTGAGTGTCTTGTACAACATATTTATTTGAATTCGCCCCTAAGATATCTTCTTCAAAGCCAAAGTCTTCAACAGACAAGGGGAACTCATCCGTTGTGTTTTTGTTGTTTCCTGAAGTACTGGAAACATAGTGTCCTTGCGATAGGTCCAATCCTCGAGCCTGAACAAAAGGGGCGTTCGGTATTGCTTGTTTGTAGCATATTTGCTCTTGTTGTTGTTGTTGTTGTTGTTGCTGTTGCTGTGCGACTTTTTCAGTAGAAGTTACAAATATTGAAGAATTATTTGAATTATGTAATGTTAAATCACCATATTTGGCATCGAGAACTCCATCGAAAAATATATCGAAATCAGTATTTTCTGGATCTTCCATTTGCAATTCGTTATTCTGCATTGTAGACCAATCCATTTGACCAGATATAACTTGATTATATATTGCAACTGGTTGTATCATTCTAGCTCTCTCGCGTAAACTTTTTTCTAACTTCCCCGCTAACTGGATGGGGGGTAATTCGTAATCTTGCAAGTTTGAATCAGTCTCACTGATTGGTGAATTTTGACTCGATGCGATATAAGTATCGTTAAGAACATCCGCAATACTTGTATTGCATGGAGATATAACAGCGTTGTATTCGTTTGAGTTGAAAACGCAGGTCTCTTCTACAGGTGTTTCGTTTTCGGCACCAGCACTATAGCTATGAACACTCGATCGATCACTACCAGCACAGCTTATGTACCCAGGGTCACTAACAACACTGTTTCTGCCGTTATCTTCAGCACTAACGTCCTCTTGGCGGTGTGCATGGTTATAAATGACTTGTTGTGGGCCTTCTGACGTCAGGGTGGGTTTCTGTGGGGTCCCTTCCGAAACTGTATCTTCGTCGTCTTCGCCAAGCGTTTGTGACATCATAATGTCGTTTGTATTTCCGACTATCATCGTTGATACGAACTACTCGGTGTTCAAAACAAAACTAACTATGAAAACTAAAAACTGAAAATAAGTAGTTCGAAAATCCAATGTCAGAAATCCCCAAAATTTATTGACTATAGTTTCGATTCAATTTCTATTTTGACATCGGATATCTATAATTATCTTACAGATATAAATAGAACATCACATGACAACTGAACAGCAAACACAAATGACTACAACTGATGTACATACGCACATCGGCAATGAGCTACATTCAACTAAGAATTTTCTGGCAAAGTAATAGGTTTATACATGCGGACATACTCGCTGGGACTATTTTCAGGCGAGAGAGTCAAACCTTTTTCTTTTCTCCTATACAAAAACGTTCACGCGTGCGTAAGAGACGACGTGACTAACATTTTTTTTATTATTTCTACAAAACAGTTAATAAATCGTTTTCCTGAACTCAACGCGGATTATAAATCACGTGAATTTTTCCCAAAAACGCGTGGTTTAAAAACTAAGGAAAAAAAACAAGACCTTACATTATCAAGACCAACACATTATTGCAGCATGATTTGGGGTTAAAATAAGTCTGTTTTGTACCGAAACGACTATACAATTTTAAGGCATTCGTTCATTACATCACCTTATAGTTAGCTTCAAATGACAGTTTCATGATTTATATTTTGAATATGAATCGCACGGTAAAAGACTGATTGGAAGCATTTCTCTCACTACTGAATAATACTCGGTGATTTGTTTATCGAATATCTGCGTAAGCCGTTAATAAAATGGTTAAATTAAACATATTAAGTATGTTGTGTAATGGTGGATTGAGCAAGTGAAGTGGAGTCCGAGGCAAAATTATGAGTTGCAAAGGCATTTTCCCGCAGATGGCTTCAAACACTCAAACCAAATACTATCGTGATCAACCATTTACCACTTATAACACCTGTTATTTATACTGTCCACAGCATATCTTTCTTAAAAGTGTTCAGCGCAGAAAACACTACTTATCTCACAAACTATTGCATCTGTAAGCTTCCATCTGAACCATGTGAAGTTAATCAAATTATGAACTTGCTTATTAAACTCAATTAAGTTCCTACAGTAGATAAAATCTGCATTCCACAATTAAAATTTATCGAAAATCACAGGTGCGCCTGAGGATTGTTTCGAAATGAATAAAATGTGATTGAAAAAATGCCTAAACGAACTTTTTGTGTTCAATTTGCTTATTAGGAAACGTCGTCACTTTATCGAAACTTGAAATCGAATATTTTAAATATTTTAACAGTTTGAAATTGATATTCAATAGCAAATCACATGATCATCATACTCACACATAAATTTGTTATTTACGTAAGCTATGTATGACTACATTTCTTACTTTTCGCGTCAATTTTTTTTTGATAATTATCCGGCCATTTTCTAGTTTCATATAGAACTGTATAGCTGTGTTAGTAAAATTCTTGATGAATGGATACTTTAATTGTTTATAGATTTAGTTTCATAGAACGTATAAACAAGCGAATACGATGTAAGAAAAAATGGTCAGAGCGCATACATTATATAAAGCTTTGATTAATTATAAAAAAAGCGAAATTTTGTTTTTATTAGCTTTTTAAGGTTTATGATTCTGTAATTGGAATTGTTTGTCGCAAAGAAGAATTTTCTTGAGCCCTTCATAGTATCGAACACCGGATCGAAAATATCAGTTTTGGAATAAAATATCAAAATAAATTTTAATAAAAACAAAAACCAAGCAATATTTTGCCCCAAAAATAAAAAAAAATTCCCGAGGAGTCGTGCTCAAATTTAATGCTCATGGTCTGACGCAAATTTTTGATATACTGACGCATATAATAATATTCGCGCTATATCTGCGCTAGTCGAGACGGGAATATTTTCACGTAGTTAGGATTCTGTACCCGGAGGCAATTTTTCTAAAATAATATAATTGCCTTGATTTCTCGTATTCCGTTCCACGATTACGAAAGATTATCTCGCCAATGCGACACTTAACGCTCATAATCAAATAATTTAGTACAAGTGTTTAGTTCAACTAAGTCCCTAACTCTCATCTTCTAATGACTGTTAATTGATGCCAGAAAACTGATATCATAGTTTATCAGTTTCTCCCGTGAAATTTGAGCAATTAAAGCAAATTTTGCGCTCCATTCAATTAGTTCTTATTACATCAGGACTAAAAATTTCTCCCGAATTAAACATCTGTATAATTGAAACCTAAAATTAAATAACTTCCTAAATAACTAAGTATAAGGTATATTACTAGATAACAAAGAAGATATTAGGCATGTCGAGAAAATCTAACCAAAGTTCGAAATCAATGCTAGTGAAAAAAGATTTTTTCTTCAGTCAGACAAATGAAATTACAGGATTTTCTCAAAAATTCACTAGATTTCTATGATACCATATTCAATTAATTGTCGATAAAACTTATTTTAGAACGTTTTTACAAGGTAAACCTATTCAAACATTTGAAATCGAAATGCAAGATGGGATTCTATAATACCAATGACATCTGTTGTATTATTCAAATCTTATAATTGGTATCTCCAATAGTTTGATTTCCCCAAGTTTAATTTACTGATTAATTTAATGATACAAACAAGCAATCTCACAGCTCACTGATGAGATGCAATTGATACGATACCAAACAATTTATTTGCAAAAAAAATATACAAAATTTTCAACGTTTTCTTTTTGGAAAATTGTGAAATTAGTTTATATAACTAAGCAAATCTGCAACTACTTGCTATATAATATAATACTATAATCTTTTATAAGACTGTCCTTACATGGAACGCGTTACATAAAATGAAAAAAGAAACCTCAGTTCTCCTATCAATACTTCTATGAAGACTTATAAACATTTAATCCAGCTCAAGTTAAAGCTGCTAAAACAGTAATGTTTATAATTTGACTGGATCGCATTACTTTTAGAACTTTTGCTTTATTATTGTTTGATTGCAATTTCTTTTTGCTATGAATAAAATCTGATAGCTGTCTTTACAGATAGCTATGATAGCTGTGTTCTCATATAAAGCCCAGTAGAATAATCTATATTTACCCTAGGACCTCCTATTTAATAACAATGATAAGCTTAAACATTATAACATACTGTTTGACTCATATCTTCTACTATTTTACACAAATAAACAATTCTAGCTAGATGAAACCATCCATTTCCTAATTTAGGAATGTTCACGCGACAACAATTATTTCTTCGAAGAGAACGATGCAGCAATTGAGTTTGATCTCGAGTGATTATGAATATTTAAACATTTTATGAGTTTCTTTGAACAGTTTCGAACGTTGGGCGTCAACAAAAACAAAGCTTCTGTTTAATAGAGCAATAAAATTTTGTGAGAAGTCACTTATAAATACTTAGGCGGGGCAGGAAACATAAACTGAAAGGTGAGCGATGTTTAAAACTAATTTTCGATACATCTTAAAATCAATAATTTCATTTGATAACAATTAAATATAGCACTTAGATATATTTACACTTGTGGTACTTTCTATATTTAGTCTTGCACGCTTTCTTCATCAGCAAAGATCTAAGTAAGCCTTCAAGATGCCTACATAGTTTCCGTTGTAGTAGCAATACACTATTATTAAATCTGCACGATTCTGCTATTCCAAAAACACAAACAAAAAAATTAAATCAAAAGAAATTCTTTGATCTGAACAGCAATACTCATAAGACAGTGACTGAAATGTTTGGAATGACGAATCTTTGGAGAAGCATCGAAATTTTTGCGGTTGAGTACACGGCTTATTAAATTCATTTCACCTCAGGAGAGTGACCTCAGAGTTGCCTCACCTCAAAGTTGCTTGACATGGTATTTTGAATTCAAGATCCGCCATCTGATTGTCGACATAGTGTTCCAAAAGCTACCTAACTACTTTGCGCGTGTTTTGGATCTCCCCACATGTTTGTGTGGAGCTAGTACAAATATTTCGAAATCGTGTGTGCGATTACTGATATTTCGAAATAACTGTGCAAGAATGCAACAAAACGTTAGCAAACTGTCCGCTTTGTTCATATACATCTTGCGCAAGGTATCAACACGTGCTTTTTGATGAACATTCACAAATCTTGATCGCGTGATAGAGACCATGGCCATGAGTCCAACGCGTGCTCGCCCCAGGTGCACATGTTACAACGTACAACAATATACCGTGCAGGAATCCGCGGTCAAAATCTTGTAAAAATATACTTATCCCATTGTCTAATTAGTAACTAGTACTCTTCAAACACTTGTCTTTGTAAGTTGTTTTGTCGAAACCAATTACCCATTGCATAAGACGATTTCGGTTTGATTCGTCTGTGGAATTGAAACCTGGTATTCATCTATAGTGATGATATGCTTTCTGTTGCAAACCTCGTGAATTATTACTACTTTATTCCAATCAGTTATTAGTCAAAAGCGACAAAAACTTGCTCCAGAATAAAGTTTTTACCGTTCGAAGTTTATACAAACATATTTACTCTGGGGAAGTTTAAAATAAATGTTTTATCCTGCTACTGGTGAAGATTTAAATTTATTATCATTTTCGTATCGATCTGCACTCGGATAATATCGCCTTGGCCAGAGAAAGGTCGAGTAAATTTCATTTACCATTGTTCGGAAAAAATTTAATAAAAGTCAAATTTGTTTGCAAGTGGACATTCAGATGAAAATCATAAATAGTGTTAACAAATGAAATTAAAAATGATATCCTGTTCTTACATTTATGTGTTCCACAATATCTGAAAAAATATTGAAAATCGTCTTTTTACTCGCAAACTATTTAATAAATAACCATGATTCATGAATGGAATTCATGAATTTCTCTTTAGATGGTAGAGTTTACATATCTTGTACTGTCGAACAATTCAATTACATGTCTGATCAAATATTTGTATCACTTCATCCACAATATATTTGGACCTCCAGAAGAACATAGTATGTGTACCAGGTAAGGGTTTAGGTTGTGCGCCATCTTGGTGCACATACTTCGGGAGCGTCTTATATTTGAAGTTTAATATAAAAGTATTAAATGGCGCAACAAGCAAAAAGGTGTATAAGATTAATTAATGGTGTTGTCTGACTTTTGTAGCGAGTGTGGGTTCCAATACTTTTATCCAGTTAGTGGTGGTAGGTGGAGCAGAAAAAGAGAGAGTGTGTTTTGACAGACTTGAATCACTTTAAATG